CATCAAAGAAACTGAATATGTCAAAAAATGTAAATTCATCTATAATACGCAACCCTCAAATTTCGTTTTTCTATCTCCAATAATAAAAGAATTGCAGGGGTGTCACCTTAGAGAATCACCCGGTATCAAAAAGACGATAAAATATCCTTAGGCTTATAGATGAAAATACGCCTTTTTTCGTGAGAACCCTCATTACACCAAGAGCTTATAGCAATTTACCGCAAGTAAACCTAACAAGCTGTCGTCCGTGCTAACGTGGTTTTATCCGTAATTATTCATAGATTGACAAGACGTATGTGTAATTTAATTAAACTTACTTCCTGTTTTGCGACTTTTCTGCACTCCGAAAGGCATAATTTATAGCTGCCAAGACGCCTGGTAATCATCTTGATGCAATCAATACCCTCTACAAATAGTAGATGTATGTTAAATATATCTATCAGGAGGTACGCGGCGACTATCTTCGTGTTATAATTAATTAATGATATATTTACTACATTATTCAGTATAATCTAGCTGCATTTGCATAAAATAATTAAAATCCAGTTATATTTCTGCTACATTTTGCCCGTGATAAATCGTAGTTGTTATGAATCACGTTGACAGATCGTGAATGCTCAATAATAGCAAGCGTTTGATACCGAACTAAATCGTGACATCGTATGTAAGACCCTATACTCCATTCGTGGTCCATCTACGCACCGGCACAACAAAGATACAGCGCGGCAAAGCGGCAGCCGCCTAAGCGTTGCAATAGCTATTGGTCAAAACTACAAACAAGTGCAGGATTCGACAGGACAGAACTCAGGCTCGGGGTATCGCCGGCAGTTGCTGTTCATATTCGGTGCATACATAGCGGGTGCTTATGCGTTAGCATGTTAGCTATATTATAGCTTATGTGTGAGTATGCTAAGGCATAATATACCGTCATTAGTCCTTTCTCGTCTAAGGTGTCTATAAGTTGTAATAAGACGTAGAATGGCTTATTATGTTTTTGGCACACATTTCCAGTATGGCCAGAAAAAGATAGTTTTGAGAGCCTTAGTGCCAGGAAGTATAGCAAAGTCGTTAGGTGGATGTTTTTGACGGTTTTGCCTTCATCTAGTATCAACCTGTTACGTTGACACCAGCTACTAAATTCATCAACAATATGGGCTACGTTATGTTGAAGCCGTTGAGGATTTAGTCGGTAAACTGTTATCGTCCCGCGTGTTATGTAAAGCGGCAGATCATTTACGTATAAAAGAAAGATTAGCGGTCCTAGGACAGAACCCTGTGGTACCCCTAAACCAAGATCCTTGGTATTCGATCCAACTGTTCCGATTTTAACTTGGAATTTACGTGCACTCGTGTAGAATATGATCCATTTCAGGGGTGTTCCACGAATACCTATACTACAACTATTTAAAACTGTAATGACTCATACGCGTGATCAACACGTGATCAGAGCTCGATCCCGGCTTCCTTCTAGTACAGCCGTATAGCGTACGACATATGTCGTTTCTGTGACTTTGCGGTGGTCAACAGCACAGACAGAGATGGAAATAATGGGTGATTGTTCTCCGCCGGTAGAACCAATGAAATCAAAGACGCGCCTCGACCGGCAGACTCATAGGCGTCGGCAACGCATTGGAACGTGTTTCGTTGAGCGATCGCATATTGTGTGTTTTTATAAGAATTGTTGTGTGATTGTTATTGTTGTGGTTTCGGTGGTTACTGTTTTGGTTATACTTAACCATGGAGAGTACAAATGGCACTAGTGGAAGTACTGAAAGCCAGCGAACAAGTAGACGGCTTCGTAAAGCACTGAAGAGGGACGCGAAAGAAATCGTGCACAACGTGTTCAATCATCTGAACAGAACTATGTCGCAGGGAGACGCATTCGCGCGTTGTGAAAGTATGACAGGCGTTCCAGAGTGGACCATTCGCAGGGTGGTGCATGAAAAGAAGAAAACTGGAGCTACTACTGATCCAAAGTTTAATTTGAAGGGACGAAAGGCCGTTAAATTGGATGACGATAGCAAAATGGCGTTAAGGCGAACCGTACATTCATTCTTCTTTAGGAATGAGATACCAACCCTCAAGGCTGTACATGCAGCGATCAAGGAAAATGAAATTATACCCCAAATGAGCGTCGAGGTAATGAGGAAATCCCTGCCCGAAATTAATTTTCGTTACGAAACGCGTAATCGGAAGTCAGTATTGATAGAGAGACCTGAAATAGTCGTCTGGCGTCGAAAATACCTACGCGAAATGATTGAATATAGGCGACAAAGCAGAAAAATCTATTATTTGGACGAGACATGGGTAAATGCAGGTCACACAGTTAAAAAAACCTGGATAGACAAAAACCTAGTGAGTAACCGACAAGCAACCATTGAAGGTTTGTCAACAGGTCTTCGTGGACCGACAGGGAATGGTCAAAGATTGATCGTAACTCATATTGGTAGCGATAGTGGCTTTTTAGAAGAGTGTGACTTGATTTTCGTCTCTAAGAAAGGAGGTGATTGCCATGACGAAATGAATGCCAGCTGCTTCGAGAGCTGGTTTCAAGGGGTGCTTCAGCGAGTTGAGCCCAACTCTGTGATCGTCATGGATAATGCTTCCTACCATAGTCGTCGAGCCGAACGTGTACCGACTATGGGATCTCGAAAAAGTGACATGCAGCAATGGTTGCGCGAAAAAGGAATCCCGTTTGACGATTCATGTGTGAAAGCGGAATTGTATGATGATGGCCCGTCAATGTGGTGTCACTGTGCTGCGGTTACCGCCCTACCACTGTGAACTGAACCCAATAGAGCTCATCTGGGCTCAAGTGAAGGGTTATATTGCGCGCCATAACACAACCTTCAAATTACCAGACGTTAAGGTTTTACTTGAGACATCCATACACCTAGTAACGCCCGAAGCTTGGCAGAATGCTATCCGTCATGTTGTGAAGGAAGAAACAAAAATGTGGCAGCTTGACCACCACATCGACACCATCATAGGGCTCATATAGTCAATTTCAACGAGGAAAGCGATAGCGACAGTTTATTACTGTCAGATGTAAGTGGAAGCGACGATGAATAAAGGTAATTCCCAAATTTTTGACTTACAATATGTTTCAAACCACTCTTTATTAAGCATGTGACAAATCTAATTCACCCATGTTAAACATTCATACCCCGCCTATGAACAGCCGACTACTGGTAGTTAAGTGATGTTCACGTGAACATCGATGAGTCATTACAGTTTTAGATAGTTATAGTATAGTGTCTCTAATTGTATTCTCACATAACTTTTTCAGGTGTCCAAGGATGATTTAATTTCGTCAAATCGCCTAGGAACGCAACATATCTATATAGGTTCACAATTCGGATAACGCCCGATGAAAAAAGGCGAAATTACAAAGTATAATGAAGTGCAAATAATTAGCGAACCATATATGCGTAATCTATAAACAGTATGCACAGGAAAATTCAAATTATGAAGATTAAGCGTACACTAGACAGCGAAGATATAGGCGTATTTAAATTTGAAAATATGTGCATGCGGCTTAATTGTACCCAATTACCTATTGATAACTGGTAGGGAGTTACGTTTTTATCGTTACCGACTTACGATAACAGACTTTCAAAAACTATAATTAGCATATTAGGGCTAATTAATGCAATAAGTATAGAGTATAACAACTTAAAAGCGAATACAATAAGGTGCTTGCGAGTGTGAGGGTAAAATCAAGAAGGCTATTTTTTCATAGCTATTGTTTAATCGTCCATTTTCCCATCGTATTACCACTAAGGAAGCATATCACTACAATTTGATAGTTGCTATTTTGCTATTGCTTAATTCGTACTAGGTTGTGTTGATTTTCTCCTAAACTACTGCAACCCGCATTTCGCTAGCATGCTTTATGGGTTGCATACTTATAGGCGGATATATGGAGGATGCTTTTAGAACCAGGTGTGAACTAGGAAAAAGTCCACATTTAGCTGCTTGTTCTTCTTGTTCTATTGCAATGGAGATATTGTCAAATCAGATACTAAAAGCACGCCCTTTGTGTCCAATGTTTTGCAGCAGTTACGTAGCTAGATTGCTTTAGCACTTCTGAAGATTTTTTATTTCAAACGTCTCAACTTTTGGCTACTGTTTCATATTTGCTCGTATGTACTTTTCGGCCAAAAATGAACGATTTTTTGCAATAATCAATTAACTGTTGCAACTAACTGGACATAACTATTTTGTAGGTGTTTTCATCCCTTTTCCAATTCTGCTATAGACTCATAGCTTGGAAAATTGATGAAAAAAGTTACCCAGATTTTTTTATTTCGATATGAGGGGCCTTTGGTTTCGCCCTAAAGAATAGGTATATAAATCCTTCTGTACAATTTCTTTTAGGGTTCACATTCGGCTTGCTTGAACGTTTCAAAAAAAGTAATCCTAGTAGATTTCCATATCTATCTGAATTCTCGAATCGCCGTCGAAGACTCTATATATGTCATATATACAATTAACTGTTAATTGGAAATTGATAAATGTTAAGCTTATTAAACTCTTTTGGCGGTAATCTCGAGTTTCGACAAACGATGTTATCATCTTCAGGTGCTAAAACACAAATATGAAGCTAGCGACTAATTTAGAAAGGATTTAAATTTTCAGAACACTTACTCGTCGATGAAGTTGCAGCCAAATGGTATTTTAAAACGAAAGCGTGGACGAGAACACTTGTTGCAATTGTAAAACCAAAATTGCTTCGTTTTAAAACACCTCACCGACGAGTAAGTGTTTAAAGCCTTTCTAAATTAGTTGCTAGCTCCATATTTGTGTTTTAGCTCCTGAAGATGACAGCATAGTTTGTCGAAAGCTCGAGATTACCGTCAAAAGAGTTTTACTAAGCTTAAAGTTTGCCAATTCCCTGAAATGTCCGGACGATACGGCCCTAAAACATAAAGGAGTTAAATGACAGCAATAAATGTTCATGTATGGGCTGCAACCCCGCATCTGTCAACACAACTTACCATTCATGCCACCTGTTGCCGATTTCACGTCCTTACATTCGTTCGAACAAACATTACAAATGAACGTCAAACTGTCAATGCTCCGAATATATAAATCACACGGTATCACAGACCGATCACAAAAAAACGCTACGCCTCGTCGCAAACCCGCGAATCGTTCAAAAACATCAGCGCTCGCGCGTCTCCGGCGTTGCGCGTCGGCCTGTCCAGCGAGTTCGTCAGCGCCTACTACGCGATCGGCAAAGCGCGGCCTGGGCGGCGAATGGGCGGACCTGCCCGCGTGCCGCCCATAGGCGGCGCCGCACGCCCATCGCTAATTGTCGCCCTTGTTAGCGCCAGCTGACCGCTTCCATCTAAAATATGCACGCTGGTGCTGATATTATAGTACAATCGAAGAACACGTTTATCTCCTGAATAGTTTCGGTTTATACCGGATTGGATTCGAGATTACAGACGAATTATCGAGATACAGAACTCGTGTTAATGCTCTTAATCGGTTGATTACTTTTCTTACGTTTAAACAGATGAAATACTTGTTAATATTGGTATAGCCCAAGGAGCTTTCCTGTTCTTAGCCCACAGAAATGACCTAGAGCAATTATCTGTATCAGCAAACTTGCTACAGAAATTCTTAGCAACGACTCAACTGCTGAAAAACTGCAGTTGCCAGATTTCAAAAATCCATTTTAAAGAACTATCTGATCTAACATTAGTATGAACTGAGAATTCAGATGGACAAACAGTAGTAGAACAATGTAAAATGTCTACACTGACTGATGACAGACAAGCAATTCGTAATACATCAGTTTGATAGTTTCAAGCATGGAATTGCCGACTATAACGACAACATGGCAACCCTGTCAGGGGTCGGGCAGACGATGATCGCGATTGGTGTATATCCCCTTACCGCGCTGTTAACATGACAGCCCGTCGGTCATTCCAGTGGCGTAGCATAAGGAGAATAGTTCTAATACGATTATATAGTAATTTAGAATCGAATGACCTGTCAAAACACATGTTTTGATTTCTTTAAAAACGTAGCCATTCATCGTATTTGACATTTAGATAGAATTTTAAGTTTCTTTCCTCGTTGTTAGGAAATTGAAGTACAGTTCCAGATATCTGCTTGAGAACTTGATTAGACGAATATTAAAAAGGATAACGAGCTAATCTTTGTATCAAATATATCTGATACATCACGAAATGATGATGTTTCATGTCGTGCGAACCACAAAAGGGTAATTTTCAGAAAGTTTCTCATTGGATCCAGTGGTCTTTGTGTGCTGTGTTCGTATTTAGTCATCTTCAGCCACTTTGCAGGCCACTTCGAAATGTTCCGTGAATTCATTTCCATTGTGAAAAAGTATCGTTACATTTAAGTAATGTTTGTTTTAAATGTTTAAGCACTATGTGCAGAATATGATAGTTATTTCTAAGAGCAATAAAAACAAGTACACATCAAATTTTATAAAAACGTTTATCTAGCTTCAATCTTTACAAACTATTCAAAATCTTAAGGAATCTAAGAAAGACGGAAACACCCAACGGGACGGTTATGAAAGTTCTCAAATTACTAATTTTGTTTCTTGTCTATTGTTTGCTGAACTTGCAAATCCTTTTCAAGGTAACCCAAAAGTATCTTAACGTTATACCGTTAGGTATAATGTAGGAAATTATGCCTTTATTTTGCTCACCCCATTGGCCGTTTATTGTTCTCTCTCATTTTGAAATGGTACCTGCTAAAGTATTCTCTCCGATCGCTGAGCCCACTTTCCCGGGACTATAAAGTGTGCTCCCTACCGCTGACATTATTGTCGAATGCTTCGATTATATTGGATAAATACTTTATTATGTGGTCGCCTGAGAGAGGCGCGTTGTTATTGGTCGAGCTGATTGTGATAATATGGAGTCGGAGGGGAGTTGGGATGTCGAGGAATTAAGGGGCTATTAGAGTAATCAGGTTTGACACGTCGTAAGAAATATCTGGATCTTCATCCTGGCATTACTAGAATACAGAACGCTCCATTACGTTCAAACATTTTGTTAAAACACTGAGATTTTTGAGAATTTTCAGATAATCGGAAAAATCCTCGAAATGTCAACTTTGCGTCAAAATCCGGCAACGCAGGAAGGGATATTTTGACATTTGACATACATGACAATGACATATATTGATGCAGGGAGTTCGACGGCGTGATGCGGACATGGTTGCAATATTGGGGGATTTTACCCAAAGAAGGATTTTAACTCCCTTGTGGGTAATAATGTTCTGGTGGATTTTCGGGCGGAAAATAAAATCGTTCCATATTTTTGGGGTATTTCATTCCATTTTTCAGAGATGTATTTCTGTGAAGCTTTTAGGTTTGGAAAAATTTGAGTTTCAAACTCACAATTCTCTTTTGATAACTAGTCAGCTAGGAGACAACTCACACGTTTTACGAATAATTTATATCTGATGTTATAAATCACATGTTTCGAGCACAGAAAGTTTCCCCCACCCCGCTCTTCGAACCAAATCTGTTAACCCTCTTAATGAAGTGTGATTTGGGAGATTTTTTTGAAAGCGTTGCAATCCTGCGGAATTTTTGTGCTTGTGCTGGGGGGATTCCGTCTTACCCATCTGGCAACGCAGGATGCGGACCAAACCTAATGAAATGACAGATTTTGATCCACGAGGTTCCAGGAGGTGATGCGGACCTAGCATTTTTTTGTTTGTTGTGGTCACCAAAGCTAATAGAGATAGGAGGTTACTCAAGGGATACACGTATAGGTATAAGCCGTCAAGGATAGTGTAGCTCTCGAAAAACCAGTGGTCGTTGACCATCGCGCAGAGCGTTTGCGCATTAAAAAATGTCAGCATAACCTGCCGCAATTGGATTTGCTTTTTAATCATGATGACAGCAACAGAGATGCCGTATGCGCAGCAGCTCAAACTCATTTCCTGCGCATCGTCTACATTTTTGGCTTCAACCCCAGTCCTTGAGTTCAATCTCCTATCTCTAGTCTTCGTGACGTCGTGGATATGATGTATAACAGAGGTATGCAGCTAATGGAAAACAAGGCGGTGTTGCGCATGGGGAGTCAACTCATATGGGAGAATGTTGCCAGACGACAATCTGACAACATTGTTGCATCCACAAAATATGACGGCTTTGACAAGTGTGACGGTTTATTGCTGTCATTTCTTAAATTCCCACCGAAAACCTGGAAGCCGAAGTGTGACCGAAGTCACCTAAACTCTTTTTTGTGAGGCTGGTGACAAAGGTAGGTTTTCCCAATCACATTTCTTTATTATTATGATAATTAAAACCGTTCTTATTTAAACTGCATTTTTTGTTGGGATGATGAACTTTGAATTGTTACAAATAACATGTAACATTTTGGTGAAATTGTATAGACCCTCTTATAGATGACTGTAATCAACAGAGCATCCTGATCTCTAGAAAAAAAAGTTTAGAGATAGAGAGATTCTATATCTATTGGAGGAATATACTGGGTGGCGCATCGAAAACGAAACCGACGCATTTACTGGCAGCTCAGTTTTTTTTGGAAAAACGCTCAGACCCGTCGATTTTTGTTCGAGGGGGACACAAAAAATCACGTTAACACGTGCAGCCTCCTGGGCGGGGGTGACACATCTTCAAAACTACGAACTGAAGCTCATGTATTTTACATCATTATAAAGGGAATTGAAAGACCTTTAAAATAAGGTATCACTCGACCCCCCTTTCCATTTAAGATTTTCGGGTTGGTGTCACCCCCGCCCAGGGGGCTGCACGTGTTAACCTGGTTTTTTGCCAAACTTGTGTCCCCCTCGAAAACAAAATCGACGGGTCTGAGCGTTTTCCCAAAAAAAAAAACTGAGCTCCCAGAAAATGCGTCTGTTTCGTTTTCGATGCGCCACCCTGTATGTATTTGATAGAACATTACGACTATTGAGGATTTCTACTTCATTCAAGTCACATTTGTAGACCGCTATCAAACATTCAGAAGCAGACTTGAAAGCACTTCATTCCATTTCCAATCCCTGGTAATCAGAGAAAGATGGAATAAAGATTATCTGTTACTGTTATTTTCTTTCCAGGAAATATATCTGGATAATCTAGTGCGTCAGGCATCATGGCTAATGTAAATTTATGTAAAATTCGGTAGTTGATATGAAAAACTCGCAAGAATTTCTGCTTGAAAGGGTTTTGTTGCATTTTTAAAAGTGTATAGCTCAAAAAGAAGCAGATAAGAATGAATCGAATCTGTATTATAATTATTTATATTTGAAAAGAATTTGTTCTCGGAGAGCTGGCAAGGTCGGATGTGGCGTTTAAGCACAATCTAGCAATCATGTTGCATTCAGCAAAAATGGCGTCTCGACACTGACATATGTCAACCGTGTTGCCGTCTGGATAGCACGGGACTGTGGCTTCTTCAGTGTATATATTTTGCGTTGGCCAGATTTGAAGTTCCCGCAAAAATAACCTTACTTTTTCCAATTGTCAACTGCATTTACTTTTTCATACAATTTTGTTTTGATAATGATTAGTTTATTGATTTCTCCGCTAAAATTTGCTCTTAGGTGCTCGTATAGGCCAAGTTTTTCAAGGCCTCTAATCAATAGTAAATTTCTTAGCAAAAAAGCCCTAGATGTAAATACAAATGTGACCAAGGATGTTATTTTGTTCAAAAACCCGAACGACAAATTTTACAAAATCATCAGTATATTTGCCGTTTTCCAGTTCGGTTTTTGGACTTATTTATCGATATTCGCGTACACCACATTGAAAGACTCACCTGTAGATACAGAAAAAGCCAAAGCTTGGTATGAAAAAATAAACCTAGGCGAGAACAAATACCGGAACGGTTTAACTTTGATTTCATTTTTAATAGGTAAGTTTATTCACGTGTGTGTTTTAAAATATAAATGGAATTTTGACGTGTTGTAGGCTGGGGTTTATTATCAGTATCTTGGATGTACTGTCTAAGATCAGTAAAATACCTTATACTGCGTAAGGGTGGCAGAGAAGTTACCATTGTCACATTTACTCCTACAGGCAGAAATCGGATGTTCACATTAGGAGTAGAAAACATTAACTGTAAAGAATTAAGGCAAACTGCGAAGGCACACATACCGTTAAAAGTGAAAGGACACTCATTTCATTATTTGCTGGATGTTACGAAGGGCGAATTTAGGAACCCGCTGTTATTTGATCATACTGCAGGGCTGAGAAGAGACTGGAAGTCTTGAATGTACTTTAGATAAATCGCTGTTTCTCAAGAATAGTGATACTATTGAAAAAAAGTTTTTTTCAGCAGAGGATTTTTAATATTTTTTGTAGAACAATTTCGGATAACTGAAGAGAAAGTTAATAGCTTGGAATTAGAAAAATTATCAATTATTGACCTTTCAGATTCATTGAATAAAATATCAGTATGTTTTCAAAATATCCCATTGTATTACTTTTTTTGCAACTTTACAGGAATGTGTTTTTATTCCTAAAAAAAAATTATCCATTTCTAAAAAATATATGACAAGTAATTCGTGGTTACAGAACAAAAAGGGAAAATTTATTTAATAGTTTGGAATTAGAAAAATTATCAATCAAATAAGGTTTATTGACCTTTCAGATTTATTGAATAAAAGATCAGTATGTTTTCAAAATATCCCATTGTATTACTTTTTTGCAACTTTAAAGGAATGTGTTTTTATTCCTAAAAAAATAATCCATTTCTAAAAATATATGACAAGTAACTCGTGGTTACAGAACAAAAAGGGAAAATTTATTTAATAGTTTGGAATTAGAAAAATTATCAATCAAATAAGGTTTATTGACCTTTCAGATTCATTGAATAAAAGATCAGTATGTTTTCAAAAATATCCCATTGTATTACTTTTTTTGCAACTTTAAAAAATGTGTTTTTATTCCTAAAAAAATAATACATTTCTAAAAAATATATGACAAGTAATTCGTGGTTACAGAACAAAAAGGGAAAATTTATTTTAGTATGTTACCCAACTAACATTTTGAAGGCTAGGAGGAACTAAAAAATGAAAGGTAAGTACAGAAAAAAAAAAACATTAGGTACAATACAAAACTTGGTTATAAATTATTGCAAAATCGCTCATAGGATGAGGGTATTATTTTTTTTTACTAAATTAAGTAAGGCGCTTTTCTTTTTCCGGAAATGGGAATCTTACATTTGCATGCCGAGCAACTCTAGAACCTCTTTTTGTTGCTCGTTTTTCTTAGATCTCTAAAAAATTTTAACTACCTCAACTTTAGCCGTATGAGTTTTTGTAGACAAATATTCCAGAATGTTGAGATTCTACCCTTATCATTTTAACATCGGATAGTTTGAATGAACCATTTTCCGAATTTCTTATAAGTGTACGGCTTGAAAGTCAAGCCTAGGGATGGCAACAGTACATCGATATCGAAAACATCGATACATCGGACGTAGAACATCGATGGTTTTATGACGATATATCGATGCATCGACATCGAAAGGATCATAAACATCGGTATACCCCGAGTATATCCTTAACTGTTTTATAATCTCTAAGCGAGGACTGGTACCTTCTAAATTGAAAGCCTAGAAAGCTGTCTAGTGGTTTCTCAATATTATCATTACAGCCGTGAGATTGACTGTAGATATAATAAAATAAACAGCGCATTTAAGGTTCTTTTAATTATTTTATGGAATGTAGTTGTAGTGTCGCTGTTTTATTGCTAATTAATCGAAATGCCACGAAAAGTGATGTGTGGAAAACACTCTTCAACGTGTGCACAGCGTAAAGTATTTAATGATCATCAATGTGTTCTTAATTTTGACAATCTCGTATCTTGCAGTTTCCCATAATCATACTTGTTTACTGAAATATATTGCAGTCGGTATCCTTCTTTTATACTATCGTGAAGTTTCTGACGCGTTTTTTATTCTTACTTAATAGTTCTGAAATCGAGGAAAAAAAAAAGCGGTGGGAATTCCACCAACCGATAAAATGACCATTCCGCTAAAACCGATAGCAATCGATGAAGAAAAGAAGAGTTGTTACGATGGCGATGTTTGTCGATGTTCAGACATCGATATTTTCTAACAAATCGCCATCCCTAGTCAAGCTGCAACTGCAATATGACATTATTCATGACAGAACCCCAAAACATTCGATATTAACGAACAACAACACTAGCGCCATCTCTGGCGAACACTTTGAAACAATTGCAAATGTCTTTGTTCCTGATAAAATAGTCAGCATTTGAAGTGGATCTGCAATTGTAACTGATTTTTCTCGTTTTTTTTTGGATAATGTCACTATTCTTGAGAAGCAGCGATATGTACTTTTATGTTTTATTTTTTCATGGTAAGCCCATTGGTTGTTTTCTTAAAAACAAATAGTTCCAATTACATTGTGATGTTCACAGAACACCTTTTCAGAACAAAAGGAAAGCGTAAAAAATTTGACCTGTTAGTTATGCCATCTCTTGTGAGATCTAACTAAATAGGGCAAAAATCTTGGGTGTATGAATTGCGATTATTAAAAAAAACAGTGAATAACGTGTTTTAGTTGCCTATGAAAACTGTAGTTTGTGATTTGAAGAAAACAAGTCATAAATAAAAATATATATATATATATATATATGTATATTTCTCTTATATGAATAATTGTCCAGCCTTGGAAAGAGTGGAGTATGAATTGATTACGTTTTGTCTTTATCAGTATTCCTGATGATCATAACATTACTCTTAAAGGACTAAAGGAAGGTAATGAAAATAAAACGAAAATGTTAGGTATACTTTTATTTCCGTGCCGATAGCAACATCTCTACTGAAACATTTATAAATGCATAGAAATGAAAGCCCTCTTCAGTAACAGAGAGCAGTGGAGCATTTTGCCATCCCTTTTAACGTTCAAACAAAACTTTACGATTTCTAAACCTTCTTCCAATAATAAGGAGCACTTTTGAAATGTTAAATGTGCTCTCCATGATTAACTATAAATATGATGGACGAGAGTTTTGGAAAATAACGCGTACGTAGAGGTGAACTTCAAAGTTATTTTGATTGACTTGTGACAAACTGTCAAAAAAGGCTGACGTTGACGTTTACGCTATTTATGCCAAAACTCTCTAATGTGTCTGATAATGCAGTAAACTGTTATGGATCTTACATCAATAAGGATAATTTTGAATAACGCACAGGTAAAACTTGCCAAACAAAACGTGGCATGTCTGCTTTCGCAGAAAAAAATAAATATGTAGATATTTTTACGAAAAAAACTTCTGGTTCTAAATATATTTTTTAGCTGTGCATTATTACTACAAACCAAACTTAATTTTCAATACTAATGAACGATTTTAGATGTGTACCTTGCATATAACATTAAAGATGAGATTTCTCAATAAAAACCTTATCATCCCTAAAATTAGTAAATATTTCATAAATAACAACTTAAAATCTATCGTTCCCCGGTAATTTCCGAATATTCAAAAGGAACAACGTTCGTGTCTGGTATCAGAAAGTTTCCTCAATATTTTGTTGCAGTCACAGCTCCCCAATTTCATATTATAAGTTACGATGTGACTCCCACATCATGTTAGAATAGGCACGTATTTCCTTACCTTATCACAGGATGCAGTGATTGTGTTAAAAAATGTCAAACAAACTAAGATCTTAGGTTATGGCCGTATCTTCAGTCGTTCCTGCAATTGTAGGACGCCTTTATGGCCTCCTTGATCCACATAGTATTTTCTCTCTCTCTATTTTGAGGTTATGTTACAAATATCTATTTGCATCGAATTGTGCATGCTTTTGATTTATACGTCTATTTTATCAGTCTGGAACTTTCTACAATTTAAAAAGAAAACATAACCTCATAATAGGAGAACACTGGCACGAAACAGTAGAAATCTAGGAATACCCCAGCCTTTCTGAAGGAGAAAATACTATGAAAATCAAGGAGCCGTAAGGATGTGCTAGTAGGAACGACTGACGATACGGCTGTTAAGTCAGAGATTCTAAAGGTTAAAAAACAGAGATAGACTACTGAGAATTTTACCTTTATGATCAAACCACATTCATTTAACCAATTCACTCAAAATCTCAAAATAACCAATGATGCAAGTAAAATGGTGCACATGGTTTTTAAATAGTGCTATGTAAATAAAGATAAAATTGTTACTGGACTATTTTTTGAGTTGAATTTTTAACCTTACATTTAAGTATTAAATGTCTCATCATTTAGAATGTAAAATACATTTTTGTACGATGTAAATCTTTTGAAACTGCCTCTCATTTCCCTAAAAAGCGCGTATGAAAAGCGTAACTGAAAGAAACTCTATTTCGGTATCTAAGTGTCGTCAGTCTATTCAGAATGAGTAACTATGAGAAATAGGAAGACGTTATGTAAAAATTGGTCATATAGTAAGTAAACTACAGTTCTCAACATCACCTCGCACATTTGCAAAGCAACTTAAAAATAAATAATAATTATACAACGTGATTCAAAATGCAGTTGCAATATTCTTAAAACATCAAGTACATCGGACAAGCTGCTATAAAAATAAAACCTGAAACATACTTTTTGGAATAGAAAATCGCAGGGTATTACAGGTTAGAAAAAATTTGAATTTCAAAACAGAAATTTTTCTTAAAGAAATCGTTAGTCTCTCGCATATGGAGGAGATAACTTTTTATTCGTAAAACCTGAATTGAATTAACATGTTCAGTATCAAAAGCGACTTCAAATTTTTCATAACCTCAATTTGACCGCGAACTCCTGCCTTAAGATTCGTGGCTGTTACGACCTTCAAGTGACGTTCCTTATACTTGCCGCCCTAAAAATATCGCCTTGAACCACACTGTATACGCAACAATAAACTCAATCGCAGCTAAAACGAGTGAAAGATCCGAATAGGTAAGAGGCACTAGTACGTATATATCATAAAAATCGTGTGCCCACTCTAACAATGTAAAAAATTCCTATTATTAGCTCTAAACATCATTCGTTTCGTTTAAACACTAACCCTTTTACACGCTAAGATTTCTTCGTTTACACGCTCAACTGACTGCGTCGTGCCAACCGTAAAGTTAAAGTATATTTTTCAAGTACCAAGTAGATTGGTTATATCACAGTCGTCTTTTGCAGAATACTCTTAGCGCTCTAAATAGCTGTAACTGCAACTATTTTGCGCCACAGCAGTCGTCGTAATGTCGAAATGGCACGCCTATACCACGTTCAGGAGAGGCGCCAAAAATTAGTCAAACCGTGAGCGTCGTAGTGTCTGTGTATAATGGTGACCTTGACATTGCCCTTCAAGGTCATCTGGAGGCTAAGGCCGTATTTTTAAAACCGGAAATGTGAAGAGTTCAAGTAAACCATTGTCCATGACCTTCAAGGTCATCTTTGGGCATGCAAAAGGTATGAAGAGAACAAAAAATTTTACAAAATTGTAGGGTTTGAAAACAGACATCTAACGGTGACCTTGACATCGCAAGATTTAACGACGCTGGAAGATTTGTCAGGACTGTTCTGGAAGCAATGAGTATCCCGTAAAAAATAATTTGACCTTGACTATGACATTCAAGGTCATCTGAACGTCTAATGGTGACCTTGAAAATTACCTTTTCGAAGTTCGAGAATTTGGCAGGACTTGACCCGTTAAAAATGCATTTGACCTTGACTATGACATTCAAGGTCATCTGAACGTCTAATGGTGACCTTGAAAATGACCTTTTCGAAGTTCGAGAATTTGGCAGGACTTGACCCGTTAAAAATGCATTTGACCTTGACTATGACATTCAAGGCCATCTGATGGTCAATCCAGTTTTTTCGATGGAAAGCCGTATTTTTTAAACCGGAAATCCTTGCCCACGACCTTGACTGAGACCTTCAAGGTCAACTTTGGGCATGCAAAAGGTATGAAGAGAACAAAAAATTTTACAAAATTGTAGGGTTTGAAAACAGACATCTAACGGTGACCTTGACATCGCAAGATTTAACGACGCTGGAGGATTTGTCAGGACTGTTCTGGAAGCAACGAGTATCCCGTAAAAAATAATTTGACCTTGACTATGACATTCAAGGTCATCTGAACGTCTAATGGTGACCTTGAAAATTACCTTTTCGAAGTTCGAGAATTTGGCAGGACTTGACCCGTTGAAAAATCATTTGATATTGACTATATAGTTCAAGGTCGTCTGAAGGACAGCTTTTTTTCGATGGAAAGCCGTATTTTTGAAACCGGAAATGAAAAGAGCGGGAATTTTTACGATCGAGTAAATCCTTGTCCATGACCTTGAGTAAAACTTTCAAGGTCATCTTAGGACATGAAAAGGTATGATACCTAGAGAAAAATGATACAAAGCCGCAAGGTTTGAATGAGAACGACCTTAAAGATTTTACGGTGTTAGAGGACGTTCTGGAAGCAAAAAGTAACCCGTTAAAAAATTCATTTGAACTTCAAGTGGCCTTGAATCATAATTGACCTTCAAATGACGTTCAAGGTTATTGTCAGACTCGCTGGTAATGAAATACTTGAACGTAGAATTGTCTACAAATAGCAGTTCAGGAGATGTTTCGTTTAAAAAGTCTCTTGATCTTCAAATGACCTTGACGGTTTTGTAGCCAAACAGAAAAACGTGGTATAGATCGACCACGATAGGTATTCACGGTCTCAAAAACCGCCTAGCACTTTGGAAGCAACGGGTGAATATTACATTATTCGCCTTGCTTCGAATGCGTCGGAGATGCCATATTTGTTTGGCGGTTTTAATCGCTAAGCGTTTTCGAAATCTTGAGTACCTACCCAAAAATATCGAATCCGCTTAGAAAAATAATAGTCATTCGGTTCTACGAAAACTGAAGTTGCAGTCGTTCAGTTTCTTCAGTATATTAGTATAGTCTACGAAAATCAGAAGTTTGCCGATTTTGAAAATAAGCTGAAAAATAAACTAATCTGAAAACACGTTCGACTTCGGGCAAGGCTTCAACTTTTATTTAGATATTTGGCAACCTCAAAAGTTATACTTTTTAACCGACAGTTTAAGCATTTAATGTAACCCAATTTGTTTAAGCATTTTTGTTTAAATAAATTACAATGACATTTTTTCTGGCCTTTTGGATCATTCTGAACAAAAAATGCCTCTAGTAAATTTTCTCTTCTGTTGATAATTTTCGAGATACAAGCGATTTAATGTCTGAAATCCCCTATTCAATGCTTAAAAACTCGATTAAAAAATACAATTTTCGAAGTCGTCAAATATCTTGATTGTGGTTCAAGCCATGCTCTATACGAGTATTTTGAGATTAGCACATTTTAATGCGATTTTTAACCAAAATTGACGATTTTTGCAAACTGTGCACTGCGATTGCATGTCTGTCTTGCACTGGGACAGCAAAACAGTTGTTTTGACTCGATTGCACCTCAACTGCTTACGTTTCGGTTAGCAGCATTCCCTTTTTTTAAACACAAACTTAAACATACTGTCAGCATATCTAACAATGCATGCATTTTCATCGTTTGGATAGGCGCTATCGACTTTGCAAAATATGGATTGCTTTTCGGAGCCGGTGGTTAGGGTATGTTTGAAAAAAAACTGAAGTTTGTTAAGAATTTCTTTTGTAACTGCATAGACGAGGCAAAAAACATCGCATTTGCGAGGACAGGGTTGCCGCGTGCAAATTTGTTTAACAGTATTTTTAAACAATACACAAACAGTTTTTTCGCGCAGGACAAAGTTTTTTAAGGCTTAGAGATTAAATTAGAGATCTATGGAGGACAAATGATGAAGTAGCGGAAATATGTGGACATTCATCTATTTTTAGAATCGGTCAGAAAAGCACTGTGGAGGAAAAAAGGAGGGAAAGGCATAGGAAGAAATGGATGGTGGTAATGAAGATTTAAGGATGTTAGGAGTCACTGCTTGGAGAGAAAAGACTGCGGACCGAAATGTATGGAGAACGATGGTTTACATAATTAAGTCCTGTACAGGAACTAAAATTCGGTTTTGTATCCGATCTTGATACAAGTATTTTATTTGCATTGAAAGGTTCACAATTATTGTGAAATTCAATCTACTTGAAAATTCAAATTTTAAGTTTTTTAAAATATTCCTTGAAGAACTGTTAATATATTATACGAAAGATTATAAATTGCCATTAAAAAAAACGGCTAAAAATCGTTACTTTTGTTGTTGCCAAGTGTCTAAGTTAAAGTTTTACCTTTCCATAAAAGGTCCAGAGATTTTTGAGTTTCGTTTATTTAAAAAAAAATTATCTTCGGGAACTTGCAGGGAAAGGATTAAAGTTCAATTTAAGCACTTGGTAACTTCAAATATAATAACTTTTCCCATGTTTTCTATTGTTGAAAATGGCCATTTTAGAATTTTCTCAACGTTGAAACAGTTTATGACTCCAAAAAGAGAACATTTCGGTGTTGTTTGACAGGCTGTATTTCGGTGAAAAATTTTCATATCTGGACTTTAAAAAAAGCATTTTAAAGCTTCAAGTATCTAGTTTTCAGTTTTTGAGCCAAACATTTTTTAGGAGCAACGGTTCGCATGCAATTCTAACATTTAGCGCATGTAAGCATTTTTGCCTTCTTTTTAATCCACGGGTTTGGATTTTTTTCTGTTAAGCCAACATATTGATAAGATAGTCCGTGCATTCAGCTTCAATATCCTGTTCTTAAAATCTCGATACCATCATTTGGCGCCGAGATATTTGACTTTGAACGGAAAAGCATCCTTTTGTCATCGATCACTGAAAGGAGCAAGAAAAAATCTAAATTTTACGGTGATCTTTAACAGGCTGTATTTCGTTGAAAAATGGTCGTATCTATACTTTAAAAATTGCATTTTGAAGCTTCAAGATTCTGGTTTTCAGGTTTCTTATCCAAAATATTGCAAGAGCAACGGTTCGCATGCAATTCTAACATTTAGAGCAAGGAAACTTTTTTGCAACATTTTTATCTTCTTTTTAGTCCACGGGTACGGATTTTTTTCTGTTATTAGGCTAACATATGGATCAGGTAGCACGTTTATTCAGCTTCAATATCCTGTTTTTAAAATCTCGATACGATCATTCGGCGCCGAGATATTTGACCTTGAATGACTCCGTCATCGATCCGGTTACCAGTAATCACACAGAATGTAAGGGCATCTAAGAAAACTGAAATAAATCTCTTTTCAATGTGCCTTTTTGAGGTCTAGATATAACCATTTTTCACCGAAAAAAATTTGATTTTTTATTGCTCCCTTAATTTTTTTGAGCAGTGTAGTTACCGAGGAGCTTTTTTTGTTCAAAATGCTTTAAAAACTAAAAATCTTTGCCCGAAGCGAAAAAACAATTTACTCGTGAATCCAATGTTTTCGTCTCGTCTTTTCAAGTAATATTTCTTGCTAAACTTAGTGAATTTTCTCGACGATTTTTTACTTATTTATTCACGTTTCTTCGATGACAATCCATACTCTATAAAGTCGAGTCCATTCAATATTTGAACCGTGTTCGCACTGACGAGTCTTTCGGAAAGGTTCCTCGCTGAAAAATGTTCACTATATCGGCGGCGCGTCGCTTTAAAAACATCAAAACATACGAGAAATGTAAGCTAGCAACTGGAAACATCTGGTTACTTCCTTAAATATATTAACTAGTTTTCTTCTACACTCGATTGAATATGCCTTACTAGAGGGTAAACGTTCCTAATAGTCGCCTCAGACTAACATAGGGCGTGCTATGACATTGATGTTTTTTTTTTCATTTGTTACATGAAGTTTAAATAAATTAAAAAGAGAAAAATAATTAGGTTCATGGCCATGTAATGCCCAGAAAAGTGTGTATATATATGTAGGTATGCGTGGATTATATTTATACTGCGTCAGATGAAGATGAGTATGGATTCGTGTGTGTATGCGTGTTGAAAAATCTGAAGGGTTATTATATAATGTTTAATTGTCCCACCAGTCGTCGCGACTGTTGCTCGAACTGTAGTTTCCGCCGTAGTTCGAACCTCTATCCATCCCTCCATAGCCTAGAACGAAAATAATAAGTTACTCATTTCGGCGGTACCATACTTCAGGAACGGACAAAAGTTTGGAAACATTGTTAGTAATTTTTAAAGTGTACGAATTTTTTAATCATTATTTTCCTCATATACAGGTAGTTTGCTTGCAGTTTTGAGGATACAAATGACTATTTGTGTGAACTAGCATTTAAATATCTTCATATTATTTTATGACCGAAAATGAGACAACAAAAGATATTACAGCAGACGCTCGATAATGTAAACTGATTTAATCCAAGTGTGGTTCACATTATCGAAATGTTTACATTAGCGAACGTGATTTATATAATATTTGATTTATTAAATGAAACGTTTAATACATACTATTTATAACAAAATAAACAAATATTCTAACAGCGATAAGTATTTTTTTAATTAGAAGAAAAATAATTAACAATTTTTGTCTGCGTAAATTTGCGCTTAGCATTGTCTTCCAATGCCTGCGCCCGTAATTTACGAAGAACTAAAATATCCGTGTATGAAACGTCTTTTCTTTCAGCCCAATCTAAAGCTTGGTTAAAAACTTGTATAGCTTGCGCGTCAGTCACTACACTTCTGACTTCAATGGGATCGTTCTCATCATCCTCACTGTCCGTATCCTCCTCCTTATCAGCATCATTCGTCTGCTTATCTTCGTTCCATAAATTAATATCAGCAGGAGTACAAACAATGTTGGGATTCACTGTTTTCAATAAATCAACAACATCCAATGACACACTAATAACATTACCATTATTGGATCGCAAACGTTCTCTAATTACGCCTAAGGGGACATCGTCTTCTTCATCAACGTTATTCGTTGTTTCTCCGGCTTTCTTCCCGGGGCAGATTTTTCAAATGATGCAGCATAGGTTTTCTCTGGTAACATTTTCCAATAAAGGCCACTTTCATCTGCGTTGTAAATTTGTTCCATTCTTAAATCTAGCTCGGTAATTGTTTTCATCAATTTTTCTTTGAATGGTTGCACTAATTGTGGTTGTGCTGATAATTTTTCACCAGATATAGACAGCAGTCGAATTCCATATCTTGTTTTGAATTGTTATAGCCAGCCATCACTAGCTACGAACTTTTCAGTTTATTTCAGTTTTTCATTTAACAGTCTCGCTCTCTGTTTAAGTACTTCGCCACTAACTGGGACATGATTTTCCCGTTGTTTTAAAAAGCACTTATACAGGAATTTTCCATTTTAGGTGCCTTCGCAGTTTTTCTTTTTCCCGGACCTCCAAATGTATTGCACGTTCTTTGTAAAATTTGAGTTTTCATACGCTTAATTTTACAGATTGTTGCTTTCGATACTCCATATTTTTTTGGTAACTGTCACTCCCGCACCTAGCGCAACTTCGTCTATGATTTTCACTTTCTCACTCAACTTTAAACACTTTCTTTTATAGGATGTGGATGCCATAGTCGTAAAATATATTAACGCGTGCAATGTATTCAATTAAGTTCAAAAATAAAATACATACGTACGTATAAACGTATCCTAAACGATCATACGACTGACCGAGTTTGTCGTATTTTATCGCAGAGGTGAATCCCCTGAATCATAAATCGGGGACTCCCCGATGCCCGACATAAATCATCGAGGCTTCAGCATTTTACCGTCGCGCTGTTTCCGTGCGCCGAGAGTCGTTTACGTTATCGAGCGTACAGATTGTTTACGTTATCGCGCCTTCCGTTTGATCCTATAGAACGAAGTTTGTGTTTACATTAGCGCAAGTTTTCATTATCCCGTGTTTACGTTATCGAGCGTCTGCTGTATTTAAAATTAAATACAAAAGATTAAAAAAATACTGTTTAGCTAATATTTGGTAGCATAGCCTTTAGTATTCAACACTGCCTGACATAGCAAACGCCAATTTTTTACAGACTTCTGTTGGGATATTTTGACAAACATTTTTTACATAAACAAATAAATCGTTCCTATTTTTTCAAGTTTTTGTCGGATGCCTTTTAATATGCTCCTAGAGATGTTCTATAGGGTTTAGGTCCGGGGATTGCGAAGGCCATGTAAGAGCATCAACATTTTTTAGTCTTAACCAGTCCTTTACGAATTTTGAGGTACGCTTGGGGTCATTATCTTGCTGATAAAGGCATTTCTTGTTCAGCAAAAGGGAGAATGTGCGCCAACTGGCGAGGAAGTACTGTGATCGCGAAAAATTTAGAAACATGTTTTTTATGTTAATGACTTTGGTGCAAAAAGGTGTTGACTCAATTTTTTCGGATTACAAGATTCGTAGTGCAAAAGGGGTGCTTTTTTGGTAGTACATCAATCCGGACAAAGATGGCTCTCAGTTTTTAGATACAGCGTTAACTATATCAAAAACTGCATTCTGTAAACTTTAAAAGGCGTTAACTCTTGCATTATAGGTATAAAGGTGTTAACTCGTTGTTGTTTACACCTTTTTGGACAAAAAATTTCAATTTGTTTACGTTTGAACACGTTTCGTGAAAAGTTTTGTTTTTCCGATTTTTGCAATATTTGAACTGATTTTAGTATTTTATTAGCTTTTAAGATTATATGGGGTTGTCCAAATCGGACGCAGGAAAGTAAACGCATATTAAAACAAGAAAGATTGATATTCAAATCAAGTTGGGTACTTTATTTTGAAGGTTCATTTATACCATTTATGTATGAAAAATAATATCGCTCAAATGTTCACCACGACTGGATTTACAGACGTCCACGCGATGGTCGAAATTTTCAATGACATTTTGCAACATATTCGGTTCTATGGCATTTATCTCGGCAATGATGTATGTTTTTGAGTTCTTGGAGGGTGGCTGGTTTGTTGACGTAGACTTTGCTTTTCAAATATCCCCATAAAAAGAAGTCCAAGGGAGTCAAATCGTACGATCTTGGTGGCCATGGCACATTTCCTCTGCGCGAAATCACGCGATCACCGAAGAAGGACTGCAATCGATGGATATTGACGTTGGTTGTGTGGCATGTTGCACCATCTTGTTGGAAATAAACATCGTCCATATCCATTCCTTCAAGTTGCGGCAAAAAATAGTCCACTATCATCACGTGCTATCGCTCAGAATCGACGGTAACGGCGTCCCCGGCCGCATTTTCGAAAAAGTAAGGTCCGATGATGCCTTTTGACCACAATGCACACCACACAGTCACTTTTTGAGGATGCATCGGCTGCTCTTGATACTCACGGGGATTTTCGTTCGCCCAGATGCGGCAGTTTTGCTTGTTTACCGTCCCATTCAAAGTGAAATGCGCTTCGTCGCTGAACATGATTTTTGATGGAAAACTGACATCAATTTGGCGGTGTTCAAGGAGCCAATCTGAGAACGTTCGGCGCGAAAAATGGTCGGCCCGACGCAGCTCTTGCGTCAATTGGATCTTGTAGGCGTGTACATTCAAATCCGAGCAAACTGGTTCTCGAAATGCCCAATTCTTGGGATCGACGCGTTGTTGATTGTTTCGGATCGTCTCTCACACTCTCCTTCACAACAGCAATATTTTCCGGTGTGCGAACGCTCCTTGGCCGGCCAGAGCCTGGCAGATTTGCCACAGAACCTGTTGCCTCGAATTTACGCACCAGACGACCGATCGTTGTTTCGTTTGGGCGGTTGTTGCGACCGAAATGTTCACGAAGCGCGCGAAACGTGTTTTTTATTTTTGCACCATTTGAATAACTTTAATGCGGTCTTCAATCGAATACGACTCCATAGCGATCAATGGTAAACGTTCAACTAACAAAATGACATGTCGGTGACAGCAAACAAAGATGGCGTCTATGTCAAATTGACGTTTACTTTCCTGCGTCCCTATTGGACAACCCTTTATAGCAAAATGAAGCTTCCGTTTAAAATGTAAAAATGAGTTATTCAAAATTGCAAACCACACATAACCTCAAATTACTGATAATAAAAACATTTTTTTTAACAAAACTGTCTATTCGAGATCCTTTCATATATGTCTAAAATAACCTTCAATAATAAAATCAGCCATAACACTATTCGATAAAAAATGTCAGGATTCAAACTTTGAGGCCAAGCTATGAAATCAGAGTTAACGCCTTTTTGCGCCAAAGGCTTCAATTATGATGACCTCAGAGGTAAACGTTCAGATCAGGTCGCCTCACTCACCTCCATTGCCATATCCTCCTCCGTTGCTGTATCCTCCTCCGGGGCGCTGGCTTCTGCCGGCACCACCACCACCACCACCACCTCCGCCGCCACCGGGCTGTTGACGGTAATCGCGACCGCCGAAGCTGCTGCCTCCGCCGAATCGACCCTGAAAATCACAGAAATAAATCGGATGCATTTATATACTCTAAAAATCAAATCCTAAACGAGGTATCGATAAAAGCACGAGATTCGAATTTTAGCGGTGATGTCATGTTATGCACTTCATTAACGAATTCTATCAAAAAGGGCCGCAAAACATAAAGATGGACTCAGAAACCTTGTTTGAAAAGAGCCGTAATGTTTAGTTCTGCTACCGTCCCGTAGATGGCGATAGGACTTTCAATTATTTTTTGAGCTCCCTAATGACAATAAATAAATAAAAACGTTTAATAACCCGATCTTTTTTAAGATGTCGAGCGTGTATTGCGGCTGAAGGAAAACAGTTTGAGCATTTGCTGTAAAGGTAAATCATCATCAGCAGCATTTTGACGCCCACTGTTGTGCAAACAGTTATCCTTAAAGGTCCTTGTGCGTTTTCATAATCGCTGTTTAATTAGGAAATTTTGAAAAATTTTCATCAGTTTTTTTTCAAATAAAAATTGTGCATAAGTTAACGAGTAATCTTCTAAGTGTTATACCATTTTGGAATCGTTATTAAATGCGCCAACTTTTAAGGTTACTTGCCAAACTCTCGTAGTACATTTTTTTCCAGTACAGCCAGTTAAAGTTGAGCAAAGTTTTACTTTGGAATACTTGGTTGGGAAATAAGTGGCAATTTTTCCCGAACGAGAAAAGTTGGCAGTAAGGTTGAGACAGCAGTTTGAAGATGCATTATTCATCGTTACATTGTAAAAATAAAATCCAAAAAAAGTTAACATTTGTAGTAACAGGAGTTGAGAGACTGCCGTAGGGTGTGAAATTTCTATATCTTTTTCAAAGACCTATAATTTTCAAAACACATACATACAATTTTTTTAAATATTTTTCTGATAGCTGTTATGACTTTGCCTATCACCCGGTTTCGGCTTGACGTCGACTTCTGGGACACCCTGTATATATTGAATTTGAATAAATTTTAATGCTAGTGTGTACCACAGGAAACACAAATTGTCATTTGTATCCTCAAGACTATAAGCAAACTATATGAGAAAAATGATAGTCCTTAAGAATAAACAATTAGCGCACTTTTTAAAAATTACTGACGATGTTTCCAAATTTCTGTCCGCAAGATAATTTTCAATGATACGGTGACGTACCTTTCCTCCTCGTCGGCCGCCACTGGGCGCCCTTCCGTCTTGAGCAACGCTCTCCAGCCAGCTGGGAAACTCTTGCTTAGCTTCGATCAACAGATCCAATAGACCGCCGGCCAAGTTGCGGTTTCGATCGTTGAAGAACGATGTGGCCAAACCGAGGTTACCTTCCAACAAAAATCAGCGGTAACCGGGAGAAAAAACTTTTTTATATGTGCGCAAAGTCGTACAACAAACTGGCTACAGCTCGTCAAGTGTAGGAAGAGATGAGAATTTTTTAATAAAATGTCACGTCTTCTCGGTACGCAGAACCCAGCGTCTCTTGTGTCTAGACTAGCTAGCGTAGTCAGGAGAAAAATTGTCAGACAGCGAAACAACTTTATTACTTATTATCTGTGAATTGTATGTATTGTTACGAATTCGTGAGTTGAATACATACAATTTTGCGCTATTAATTGTCGCCATTTATTCCTTGGGGTGCTAAGAGATTTACTCGTTTATAACGGATAAAATTACAACGTAAAGTTTCATCACAGCAAACTAGGGAGGTTGTAGCAAAGATTTGAAGAAAGTTCCGGGGCGTGCAGCCATGACCACGAGAGTTAGTCTACCGACTATTAGGAGGATTTCTCGCGAAATGAAATCTGTTGAAGAAGGTGCTTAGACATATTTTCCGACACGAAACCAAAAAGACGAAGAGCCACTCGGAAATCTGATTTCGACGACTTTGATAGAGGTTTGCTTCGTCGACCTATAATGAATTTTTACATAACGGAAAAGAAGGTTCCAACTTTGCGGCGCATACACAGTAAATTTGAACACAATTACACTGGATCACATGAAACTTTAAGGAAAGTGATGAAGACAATGGGATTTCGTTGGAGGAAGGCAAGAAATAATCTTATGGAGAAACCAGAGATTCAGCATCTCAGGAGAAGTTTTCTGAGAAGGATGAGAGAATATAGAGAAAAAAATCGTCATAGAATTTATATGGACATGCGCATGAAAATAGTTGGAGTTAAAGATTGCAAAGACTTAAAAATGCATGCATGCGTTTTATCACGGGAGCTAGGAGGCGAGATCATGTTTCTCAACACTATTCCAGTCCACAACTGTTACGAATGAAAATCCGAGGGATTCTGCATTCCATCACCAAACAAACTCCTGCTTATCTGTATAACAAACTTCGTTACAGAACACTCAGCCAGCGTTACAAACATTTAGTTTCTACTCCTAGATTCCGTAGATCGTTTTTCAAACATTCTTTTTCTTACAATGTCGCACGGCTGTATAATACGAGGGATGTCTTTTAAGTTTTGTCAGTACTGAATCTTAACCTCACTTTTTAGTAAACTTAAATTCAAAGTTTCACAACAATACGTGCAGTGTTCTCACTACAGTGAATGTTTAAGAGTCACCAAGTCATTAGAAAAATGGAACTCAACCGAGAACATTTTCGCGCCATAATTTATTACAACTTTCAGAGACAATTATCGCAACAAGAATGCCTCGCTGAGTTACTGTCTGTTTTCGGCAACGAAGCGCCACATCAGTCGACAATTTCCCGTTGGTTTGGAGAATTCAAACGTGAACGGGCGAGTCTTAGCGACGATCCCACGGTGGATGCACCAAAAACGACACCCAATAAAACGTCGATGCTGTGCGCAAACTCATCATTGAAGATAGACATGTGACATATCGCGAGATTGGGGCGTCCTTGAAGATCTCAAAGACCTCAATTCAAAAAAATTTACATGAATTAGGAGTAAAAAAATTAGTTATACCCCACCTGTTGACTGAAGAGCAGAAAGCAGCCAGGGTTAATTGGCGTCAAAAAACGCTTCACCGTTCGTTCACTCAAAAAATTTGTACAGCATTGTTAGTGGTGATGAATCGTGGATTTACTGTTATGAAAGAGAAAATAAACGACAGTCGGCTGTTTGGGTGTTCCAAGGTGAAGAAAAGCCAACAAAAGTCATCCGTTCCCGAAGTCGCTTCACAGAATACGTATTCCATTATTGAAATTATTCGATTAATTTAGGACGCAGACTGTACCTCGAGGTCGAATCTCTTAGACTCCGAATGCGTTCTCCCTCTCTCGTGTGCGCAATCCCAGCAAATCCTCACATCTCTTCCTACACCTGACGAGCTGTACTCATTTAAAATCGATGACTGGTACGGAAACTTTCAAAAAAAGCCCTGCAACATGTTTTAGTTCGGATGGAACTATACGGTATTTCTGAATACGCGAACGCTTCGTTTTAGTTTTTGCATGGGTGTGACGTTAGTTCCACCTCTATGTCACTTGTACAAAACTAAGTTTCCCACATTTTTTTTCAGACACAAGGAATTTTTTATCCGCAAAAACGAATTTACAGTTGGAAACGATCTTTAAGCTATTTTTCTACATAGTCGCCGTTTTCACTTCCGCCTCAACGAAGTCAAACAAAACAGTAAGTAGTACGATTTAACCTAAAATAAAAAAAACACTCTTGATACGTACCCATACGTCCGGTTCTTCCGATTCTGTGTACGTACTCTTCAATATCGGAGGGCAAATCAAAGTTGATCACGTGCTTGACGTGAGGTATGTCAAGACCACGTGCCGCTACAGCGGTCGCCACCAAGATCGGCGTGTTACCAGATCTGAAAAAAATACCGATTAATCCTCTCCCCGCTGTTAAGTCAGACTTGCTACTTCGAAAAACTTCGACGGCAATCAGAAGTACCTTTATAGTATCGGGACAGCTTTAGACTGTCACTGTGAACGCACCTTTAAATCAATTATCGAACTGTCAATGTCAAAACGTTCAGTAAAGAAAACATTTTCATCATTTTGACAACGCTTACAAATGCAGTGGAATCCAGTTATAATGAACTTGCTTGTAATGGAAACCCGTATACAGGGTGTTTCAGTTTATTGTTGCATAACTTTAAGATTCGATAGAACTTTTAAAATTAATGCATAAAGTCTATATAAACATGGGTCGAAAAATGCGTGGCTTCCGAAATACAGGGTGTTTAAATTTACTTTTTAAAATAGTTTTTTTTAAATATTTCGAACAATATTTGATGTATAACAGTGAAAATTGGTATACAAGGGTTTTTTGGTACGACAAAACGAACCATGGGCATAGTTTTACTGTAGCCGCTAGAGGGCGCTCTCTACTATAGTACCTGTAGTGTATTAAAATGACCGAAAATTTTTTCTTAGTGCAATTTTTTGCTTTTTGAATAAAAAAACTGATTCTTCGCACTTTTCTGCATAAAAAAGCTCTCCTGTGAGTTTTCGTTATAGTTAGCCGTTTTTGAGATATTTCGATTTTTAAGGTTCGGTGCATTGCGGTGCATAATTAAAAATGCACCGAACCTTAAAAATCGAAATATCTCAAAAACGGCTAACTATAACGAAAACTCACAGGAGAGCTTTTTTATGCAGAAAATTGCGAAGAATCAGTTTTTTTATTCAAAAAGCAAAAAGTTGCACGAAAAAATGTTCGGTCATTTTAATAAACTACAGGTACAGTAGAGAGCGCCCTCTAGCGGCTACAGTAAAACCATGCCCATGGTTCGTTTTGTCGTACCAAAAAACCCTTGTCTACAAATTTTCACTGTTATACATCAAATATTGTCCGAAATATTTAAAAAAAAACTATTTTAGAAAGTAAATTTAAACACCCTGTATTTCGGAAGCCACGCATTTTTCGACCCATGTTTATATACTATAGACTTTATGCATTAATTTTAAAAGTTCTATCGAATCTCAAAGTTATGCAACAATAAACTGAAACGTGCATTTACTTTACACGAAGAGTTCATTATAATTAATGCAGGGTTCATCTCAAGGAAATATATGTGCTCGTATGGCTATAAAAAAAACCACTGTGTCAAATATTTGGAAAAACCGTGACAAAATTAAAAATGACCGGAAATCAAATAGTCAAAAGAAAAAAATGCGCCTATCGCTGCATCCGTCGATGGTATGCTGTTTAAATTGTTTCAACAAAAGCGTGCTAATAATTTTCCAATAAGCGGATCTATGCTAGAAATAAAGGCTGAAGAATTTGGGAAATTGATTGGAGATTTGTGTCAAAAGCGGGTAAAAAAACAAGACAGCGTTTAACGAAAAAAAAAACGTGGAATTATTGGAACAATCCTCCATATAGTCTCGATCTAAGTCCTAACGATTTCTTTACTTTCCCGAAAATTAAAAACAAACTGCGTGGTCAAAGGTTCCAGTCACCAGAAGAACCAGTTGACGCATTCAAAAATGCCAGCAAACGATTGGAATAAGTGCTTTGAAAATTGGTTCGAGCGCATGCAATGTTCGTTGAGAATACTTCGAAAAACAATAAAGGCATCTAAAACTACCAGCGTGTTGTTTTATTTCCATATGCAAAACTTAAAAGACATCCCTATTTGTCACAGTCTCGGCGAGTCCATTATAAGCGGATTGCACTGTACTTGAATAATTATTACACAGCATAGTAATTTTAAAAATACCAAAGTGGTAACACTTGTCAATTCTAAAATATCAGTTTAATAGATTTTAATCTTTGTTCAAAAATCTTGGGTCCTCTAATGTTTTTTTGAAAGATAGAAAGCCTTTAAGGATGATCACCTAAACTGGCGTAAAGCATCCTCTCTCTCCCTCTGCGTACGATCGCCGTGGATCGACGTGACCGGATACCCTTCGTTGTGCAAGAACTCTTCCAGCGAATCCGCACCCTTTTTCGTCTCTACGAAAACCAAGGTCAAACTTTCAGCGGACGGTTGCTGAAGGTCGGCTACGTTCAACAAGTCCAATAGGAAGGAACGTTTGTCGTGTTCTTCAACCCACACCACCTAAGAAACCATTTATTAGAAAATAAAACTGAAATTTATTTAAAGAAGATTGTCACGTAACCTTTTTTTTTACTATTTATCACTTATCCGTAATTTGATTTTATCTTCATTGATAATAGAGTGCCCATTCAATGATTTTCTTTTGGCAAATTTAATAGTTTATTGATTGTATAATTTCACTAGTATTATACAAAGTTGGGGTTTTCCTTTACACGACGTGTAGATCTTGAAAACATAAGCAATTTTTCTTAGTACCTTATACACCAATGTCTTAAGGGAACCGAGATAAAGGGCGCTGCAACATCAAAAATATCCGAATACCGTCCTGTAGCCGCGACCCGCCGCGATATCCCCGACTGGTACAAAGTCACTGGCTCAACCCGACGACAGAACTATAAAGTACGTTTACCTAAAAACTGAAAACGCGGCAACGCCGTCATATTTGTTACCTCTGTTCGTGGTCTGCACCACCGCCGGCGTCTGCTCGGTAGCGCATCAGCTGATTTCATTTTCTGTTGGAGCGGTATGATTTCGGGCAGAGACGTACTTAGCCCTTCTCGTCAACTGGAGAGTGAGTACTTTTTCCTTTATTTTTTTCTACTTGGTCGCCCTCGTTTCACTACACATTTGTTATTTCAAGGGTAGTTGTTTCTGAAAAGGAAAACCCCAACTTTGCGGACACCCTGTATTTTTCTTTCTCAGCGATTCATTATGGTGTTGACGATCATCAAAAAACTCTGTAGTTTTTCTCCGTTAGTTGGTTTCATATCTTCTTCAAGGACACTCAAGATACCGACAATAAAACTTGAAATACCAAAACAAAATCACACCTTTCCAATAAAGAATCATGTTGTATGAGCGAGATAAAAAAAATACTTTCCGCGTGATGGTCAAACTGCTGCATTTAGAGTTGTTCAAATACAAATTATAATTGTAAAAAACTTGTTTGTTGTTGGAGGTTTCCACAATCTTGCCAGCTAGAAACAGATGCGTAAAGCTTCAGGTCGTCAGCAATCTATGAATCTACCATTATACTTCGGCTTATCAGTTTTCGACTACCCACTTTACCTTTTGAGTAATATTCTCCGACGTAGACCCCACTCTGCCGACGGCCAAGAAAATGTAATTCTCGAGGAAATCCCTGGCCAGCATCTGAATGGGCGAGGGGAACGTCGCCGAGAACATGAGCGTCTGTCTATCTCCCGTCTTGGGCATGGTCTCCTTCTCGACGATGCGCCTAATTTGCACCTCGAAACCCATGTCCAACATGCGGTCCGCCTCGTCGAGCACCAGGTAGCGACAGTAGTCGAGGCCGATGCGACCGCGGTCGATCATGTCCAGGAGACGGCCCGGAGTGGCCACCAGGAGGTGGCAACCGCGGTCCAAGTCGCGCATCTGGTCGCCGATGTGGGCGCCACCGTAACTGAACAAAAAAAAGGTCCAGTTTTAATAAAACACGGTAATAGGAAGCTTCGACATTTTTCGTATTTCTCTTATTTTAATTAAAATCGAGGGATTTTGTTATTAAAACACGGTAAAAGAAATGTTTGTCCGCTACTGTACACGCGAAATTCTGGCATGGTCTTATTTTTTTTCTGATGAGAGTATCATTGCATTTCTCCGGGGATTCACCGACTTTAATATTTCGGTACGAACGCAGTCTATAGCCCAGGCGTACCAAGAAGAAAAATGGGTATTTCGTGTAAAAAAAGTTTAGATATCTGAAAGTTTCAAATGACAAATACATAAAAAGATACACCTAGACATGCGTTGTTTTTATAAGCAATGGAAACAGCTCAAAAATCAGTATTTTGCATGTTAAAAATTATGTTAAAAAAACAGCCATTTTTAGTTATAAACATTTACAATATCTCCGTCATTTTTTCAATATAATTTATTTTAACAGGTTGATCAAATCAGTACTTACACAACGCAAGGCCTGACTCTGGACCTATAAGCGAACTTCTTGCTCTCATCGTAGATCTGCGTGGCCAGTTCCCTCGTCGGCGCGAGTACCAATCCCAGCGGGTACTGCTTGCGTCTGCTCCTGCCGTGCTGGATGTTCGGCGGGCCCCCTTCGAACATCTGGTTGAGTATGGGGACAAGGAAGGCGGCCGTCTTGCCGCTTCCGGTCTGCGCGCACGCCATCACGTCGCGTTTGCCGATTATGATCGGTATCGCGTACTTTTGTACGGGTGTCGGACTGTCGTATCTCGCCAAGGAGATGTTCGCGCGGATTAGTTCAGTCAACTGTACTTCCTCAAACTGAAACGGAAAAATATTTTATGTGGCGAGAAAGACGTACGAATTTCGAAACTATAAATTTACTGGACTATCTTGAAAACGCTAGCTAAAGAACTGGCGCTGCAAACATTACCTCTGGTTTGACAATATCTATCTTTCCAGCTTTTGCAATTTCAAAATATCAGAAGCTTCAGTTACTACTTTCACCCGCCTATATTGACGTTTACATTAGGGACAATGACCGATCGCTGATGGTGTAGCGCTTTGATACCTGACAAGCTGACAAAGACTCAAGCTGAAAGATACCAAAATAAATGATATTTTATTGGTGGTCTTTTTAGCCTCACTATTTTGAATGTGCACAGAAGCATCATATTTACTTAGAAATTCGTTAAAAAATAGGCGCTTGTTGAATAAGACTATGCAAAAGAACCTAATCAGAATATTTGCCCAAGCAAACGCAAAGCTACTTCGAGGTTTATTAAAATCAGATCGCTTACTTTTGATTCAGGCCCATAGAAACACAAATTTTGTATTCTAAAGAGCTAATGCTAAAGAGCTAATGCTATGTTCAAGGTCATCATTGAATAATATTTAAAGGATCTTTTGATTTCAAACATACGAAAAACTGAAAAGCGGAGGTTGAAAATGTTGATTCCTTTGATTGAACGTGAGGAGTGGGTGTCACATGCATTTTTCAGGTTTTTCGTACAAACTGCACTTACAGATGTAATGTGATCCGGCACTTTCTCACCGGTCGCCTCCACGGAAAAATATTTTATAAGGCGAGAAAGACGTACGAATTTCGAAACCGCATTGCTCGTTGACATTTCTAAATTTACTGGACTATTTTGAGAACTGGCGCTGCAAATATTACCTCTGGTTTGACAATATCTATCTTTCCAGCTTTTGCAATTTCAAAATATCAGAAGCTTCAGTTACTACTTTCACCTGCCTATATTGACGTTTACATTAGGGACAATGACCGATCGCTGATGGTGTAGCGCTTTGATACCTGACAAGCTGACAAAGGGTCAAGCTGAAAGATACCAAAATAAATGATATTTTATCGGTGGTCTTTTTAGCCTCACTATTTTGTGTACAGAAGCATCATATTTACTTAGAAATTCGTTAAAAAATAGGCGCTTGTTGAATAAGACTATGCAAACGATCCTAATCAGAATATTTGCCCAAGCAAACGCAAAGCTACTTCGAGGTTTATTAAAATCAGATCGCTTACTTTTGATTCAGGGCCATAGAAACACAAATTTTGTATTCTAAAAAGCTAATGCTATGTTCAAGGTCATCATTGAATAATATTTAAAGGATCTTTTGATTTCAAACATACGTAAAACTGAAAAGGGGAGGTTGAAAATGTTGATTCCTTTGATTGAACGTGAGGAGTGGGTGTCACATGCATTTTTCAGGTTTTTTCGTACAAACTGAACTTACAGATGTAATGTGATCCGGCACTTTCTCACCGGTCGCCTCCACGGGAATATCCTCATATTTGCTGAAATTGATACCGGTGTTGCCAGTGCCGAACAACTCCTGCTCCACACGTTCGTCCCTGCAACATCACACAATAAAGTATACAGTGACAAAAAAATAGAACACACAGTAAAAAGTATTCATTTGAATGAAATTTTTTATACATTAAGCAAAAGTAAGAAGTAGCGATTAAATTGAATATAAAAAATGGTTCTTTTTTCATATGTAAAATGAAAAATCATATTTTGCCACCACATTTAGAAAATTTCATATAATATAATAATTATTAATTACCGCAAGAGGAAATATAGATTTTCATTCACAAAATTGCAACGGTAATATCACTAGTAAATCAATATTTCAAAAGGGATTACTTGATTTTAAAAAAAAGTAAACTTGTAATTTAAAGATGTTTAGAAAGAAATTAAATTAACATAGTGAACATTTTTAGAGATGCAAGTTTTGCGTTTCTGAATATTTGTATATATCTCACCTCGGCAACGGAACGGTCCAATCATTCTCGCTCCTCCTGCCCCCGTCGTTCCACCTGCCGTTTCCACCTCCTCCGTCTCTGCCGGCATCTCGACCGCCTCCGTTGGCGCCGCGGTCGCTGCCTCCGTCGCTCCAACGGGAATTGCCGCCCGAGTCGCGCGACGAGGGGGCCGCAGGCGCCGATTCCTGCCAACGATCGTTCCGCGCTGCAGGCGGGGCGTCGCGTGAACCAGAGTCGCGATCGCGGCCGCTGCCGCCTCCCCTGTCGTCCTTGGCGCCGCCTCCGCGCCCGCTCCACTCTCTACGACGTCAAACATTCGCAATTCAATATACGAGGAGATTCCTCTGTAGTCATTATTTTTGCTAGAGCTGTTTCGCGCTCGTGCCGTTTCAGTGAGCAACGTGCAGCTGTGAAATGTTGCTTTCTAATTGGTAAAAATGTTGAAAACAGCTTACAAAGATCCGTCCAAAAAATTGTCGGCAAGTCAAATCAAACATCAAAACAATGCTGATTTGTTTTTTTGATGTCAAAGGCGTAGTTCATTGCGAGTTTGTTCCCCCCAGGTCACACTGTCAATCAGATCGTTATTTGGAGGTTTTAAGACCAGAAAGGAGCAGACATTTCTAAGGAAGACTTCAAAAAATGTTTCGAGAAGTGGAAGCACCGGTGGGACAAGTGTATTAGTTGTAGTGGACAGTGTTTTGTAGGAGATAAGGTTACTTTGTGAAAAAGTTGAAAATAGCTTTTAAAAAATAATTCCGTTTTTCCTCGTACATATCCAAGCGTTCCCAGAATAATTCAATTTCTTTTCTTTGTCTCCCTTTATCTGTCATCCAGACAAGGTTAATGGTAAGATACTAGTGTTACATCGTACTGCAATGTTCAGTAGATCATTTTCACACTCTGTTTATCGCTTGTACTGGACGCGCCATCTATTCTCGTACTCGTGAAAACATAGCCGCAATGAGTGAAAATGTGCGGTAAGATCCAAAGACCTCGACTAGGCACCGTTCGCAACAATTGGGAATTAGTGAGACCACTTTACGCCGGATTTTACACCTCCATCCATACAAAATCCAACTAACACAAGAATTGAAGCCGGCAGGTATTTTTGTTAATTGGATGTTGGAAAGAGAAGACGGATTTTCGGTCAAGGTGATGAGGCTCATTTTCACCCCAATGGGTACGTAAATAAGCAAAATTGCAGATTCTGGGGGGCTGAAAATCCACACCAATATCATGAACAACCTCTCCATCCTGAAAAAGTGACTGTTTGGTGCGGATTATGGGCTGGTGGCATCCTTTCACCATTCTTCTTTGAAGATGCCGAAGAAGAGGCCATTACCGTCAACGGGGAACGTTATCGCGGCATGTTAACAGACTTTTTGTGGCCACAATTGGTGCCCACGATCTTTGGTTTCATCAAGACGGAGCAACGGCTCACACATCTCGCCAAACACACGAAATTTCAAGACCGCATAATTTCACGAAATTCAGATGTCAGTTGGCCCCCGAGATCGTGCGAATTTATAACACCTCTTGACTATTTTCTTTGGGGATTTTTGAAAGGAAAAGTGTATGCGAATGGTCCCCGGACAATTCAAGACCTAAAGCGCAATATTCGGACTGAAATTGCGGCCATAGACCCGATTATTCTGGGAGAAGTCATTGAAAATTTTGATATTCGGATATTGGCCTGTAAACGAAGCCGCGGTGGTCACATGACTAATGTTATTTTTCATACATAAAGCCTTCATTTATCAATAAAAAAATTCCATTTCACCTCGTAAAAAGCGTGTCGATTTTCAAATAGAAAAAAGTGATAGATGTCGCACCCTGTACAACCACGTTCCCATTGCCCATGCCAGTGTCAGCTTTTAAAGAAATTTCTTTTGGAGCAACAATAGTCTAGTCTCTCCGGGTATGAGTTTCAAGTTGAAGTCTGATTACAGAAACATATTGTGCTTTAATTTTTGCTAGATTTATTTTTTTGCATTTTGGAATGAAAATGTAGATACAAACATAAAGCGAAATTTGCACAGATAAAATCCTTGTCTGGTGCACAATTTCTAACAGGAATGTATCCCAACCTGTTGTATCTCAATCGTTTTCTAGTAAACCTGACTATGTAACTCCAAAATAAAGCATTTGAAACATCCACATTGTCTACAAATTTCAAACGATTGTCATTAATTACATTTACTTACACTTAGCTGCTATAATCTAACGTCTCCGCGATTCAGGTCTAGCAAAATGTACCATTTTATCAAAAAAAATCACAGATCCAATGGCCAATGGTCGTACCACTATGACATTTGACAGATGTCATATTGCACACAAAGCCAACCACAGGCTTTTAAATGAAAAAATAATATTTGATACCTCACAGACACCTTATTATGTTTAACTTCAACGTCGACTCGTTGACTATGAGGTAGATTAATCAAGAGGAGAGTGCTTATAATATTTTTATTGTACACTAACGTGTTTATACTTACATTAATTCCTTGTACATATTACAATAACTAACAACAATAACAGAAACTATGGAGTGCTTCCACGTAACCCATAAAGTCAGAGATTTTAAAAGGCATCTAACAGTCCTTTTAATAGCTATGTTCAACTGACTTTATGTTTCACATAAAATGAATATGATGTGTAAAAAATTAGTAAGCATCACGCTAACTATTGTGCTTGTGTTCTACATCATAATAAAGCGAGTTTTTTATATCATAAATAATATATCGATGATTATTAAATATATTTGTTTGTGATTAGATTACCCATAATGTTGAAAATTTGGCAGGTAAATGATGAACGCCTATTATTAAGAATAAAATTGTGTGATGCTGAAACAAGAAGTGATATTGAAATATACACGTCAAAGAGAAACAGCGATGAACATGTTTTTTCGCAAAAATGATTAGAACAGTAACGATTGTTCTTTTTGTGACAACTTGAACTACCACTCCTACGAAAATTTGGCAGCTTCAACATTACAGATAGTTTGTTAACATCCTAGACATATTGACTATGATTGAGTGAACAAAACATTGTTCTATAGAGAGAAAATAAAAAGACTTGATAAAATATATTTTATCGCAAAACGTACTTCTCGTTTTAAGTAATAATTACTACAGACGAAGCTGTTAGTTTTAATAACCCGCATCTAGACGTTTGTAAGCAAAGACTATATCGCTCTACCTTGTATTATGAACGGCGATCTACCAGCTGCGTCTAAAAAAAAATCTAGAAAGCTCAAATATCACTTATAGAAGGATTCATATACGTGTTAAGTTTTATGTATGTATAGTTTGTACGTAATACTAAAAAATATAATTTCTTTTATCGTAAGTAGAAAAGCATTAAAGACTACGTGTTTTTCGAAACATTTTCATTGACTAGGACTATCTGTGAAGCCCATAGGATATACAGGGTCGTTCCTAAGTGCGTGTAAATATTCAAGGTGGCGATTTTTGGGTTCGTTTCAAGAAGAAAACTTCGTATGAATGTCAACGTTTTAACTTTTGAGGCTTTCCAGAATAGATTACTTATTTACACCGAAAAGGTTGCGCAGGCTAGAGCCTAAATGCCAGGGCACCGTGGCTGCTATGAGGATCTTAAACAAACTTTGTTAAGCCGACTTTTGAACTGCCTAGGTTTAGTAGAAATGAGAAAAGCCCTAGGGACAATGGTACGGTCGTATCGGCCGGTTCTGAATGTGCAAAGTTCGGATAGGAGGCCAAAGTCAGGCAAGACATCATTATTAATATCTGTAAATACCACTTCTCTACTCTACTCATAAATAAATACAGGTTTAATTTTTTTTTTGTATTTTAAGAAAGTGGCACACCACTGGCTTTCTATACTGAAAACTCTACCACCCTGTATCTTAAAAGTTATGATGTTTAGGACATTCTTGTTAAAAAGGACCCAAAAATCGCCCCCTTTGAAGTTGAGTCATTAATTTTCAGATAATGATTGCAGAAGGAAGATAAACCAAAATATGTGTGTAAAAATAAAAAAAAAAATTACCTTGTTTCATAAGGTATCCTCCCGACAAGTATTTCAGTGCGGACCTGTATTTGATCGTGAGGTCTTGGAGCACCGGCATGCCCTCCCCTGTGAGGTCTTAAGTCACCTGATTCACGAGCCCGTTGTACTACATTAACAAAGGCACGAGGGGTTGATTGCACTCGATTGGGAAACCGATCCGCATAAACATGTGCCATTTTTTATTTCGTTTGAGCCACGCAGCGAACACCACTATTCACTCACGCGTTACCCACTGACACATTGACTGAATAAAAACATCGTGATCAGCGTTTCAAATTCTTTCGCTTTTTTGTTTCCGATGTGATGAACCGATAAGGCGGATTATATACGTTGTCGCCGAACACGAGCACATAATATTATTATTGAGACAGGGCGGTACTCAAACTTCTAAAGGGCTATAACTTTGTTACTTTAATTTTACCACAAAAATGTTAAAGGAAAAAAACATTTCTTTTGATCAGATCTACTCACTGTTAAAATAAATGACTCAACTTCGAAGTATATTGAGATTCAGTTAGTACATATTACAGTTTTGCTTATAAAATTATATGCCGCTTTGAGATTGTATAATACTAGACGGAGATATTTTAGAGGGTGATTCTTTGTTAAAAAATATCAAAAAAGGTTCTGCAAACATGGATCCAGAAACGCAGTTTTCAACATACAGTGTGATGAATTTAAAAAAAATAGCTTAAAAAATAATTAATCGATTCTGTTGAAATTTGAACTGACGCTCAACTGTCAAGTCTCTATGTAGAAATGATTATTTGTTTTCCAAGGCACTTTTTAGCAAACAATAAATCAATTTTGTCCGGTGACATGCGATGAAAAGCGTTTTGTTTTCTCGAAAACGAAGTGAGATACGAAAAAAAATAGAAGAGACAAAGAAGTTCTATTTTTGGATGTTTAATCAAACAACAAATATTAAAGTTACAAAAAGGGCAGCGGCGTGCATTTTTTTGATAACAGAATCGAGTAGATATTTACTAAGATATTAAAAAAATGGTTTATTAATTTTTGCTAAAAAAATCACAACTGGCTTGGAAAACAAACAACCATTTCTGCATAGAAGCTTATAGAAACTTTTTTTTCATACTTTTACCAAGGAATTACCCTCTAAAATATCTCCGCCGACACTGTATTACGGCGCATTAACCAAAACTGGGTCAAAATTATACAGGGTGACTTTGAAGATGAGTCATTAATTTTCAGATAATGATTGTAGAAGGAAGATAAACCAAAATGTGTGTAAAAATAAAAAAAAAAAATGTTTACCTTGTTTTATAAAGTATCCTCCCGACAAGTATTTCAGTGCGGACCTGTATTTGATCGTGAGGTCCCCTGTGAGGTCTTAAGTCACCTGATTCACGAGCCCGTTGTACTACATTAACAAAGGCTCGAGGGATTGGTTGCACTCGATTGGGAAACCGATCCGCATAAACATGTGCCATTTTTTATTTCGTTTGAGCCACGCAACAGATACCACTATTCACTGACACTGACTGTATACAAATGAATGAAATAATTGTAAAAACATCGTTCCAAATTCTTTCGCTTTTTTGTTTCCGATGCGATGAACCGATACGGCGGATTATATCCGTTGTCGCCAAACACGAGCACATAATATTATTATTGAGACAGGGCGGTACTCAAACTTTCTTTTACCAGAAAAATGGTAAAGGAAAAAAAACATTTCTTTTGATCAGATCTACTCACTGTTAAAATAAATGACTCAACTTCTAAGTCACTAAGTATATGAAGTATCAAACAGTAGAAATGTGAAATTTTCTCTTTCTTCTCAAACTGTAGTTTGTTTAATACGTATTTTGATCAAAACAATCCACAGCATACGTTATAAATCACAACTGAAATCAGAGTATGAAAGGCACAGATAAATATATAAAATAACTAATTTCTATAGTAAGCACATATTTTCATGATTAGAATGGCGCGATTTTTTTTGGATCAATGAGATTCAGTACTCTTAAAGATGTCATAATAAACACTGAAAATTCGAGAGTGACTTCCAAAATAATTTTTGTTTTTGTAAAATACAGAGGAAAAGTATCACAGAAATTAGTTACTTTATAATATGTAATATAAAAACATCTTAAAACTAACTTTGGTATTGTGACTCTTTTACAGCTTGTCTAGGTGTAGTCTTAAATATAATATCATTCTAAGTAGACTAAAAAAGCATTGTGCTTTTCAATGTTCATGTTATCACTTTGGCTTTGCTTTATACCGGGTTACTATTTTTTCTGTACAAACACGTATCGTATCGCATATAAATATAAAGCATATGTACAGTTTTATACAAGGAACTCTTTTAACTTTTGGATAACTTTTATTATATTTTATATACTATATAGCGTACGCAAAAAATTAGTGTAGATATTCCAGAATATAATTCTGCGTGCGAGATATATTTCTGAAGTGGCAAACAATATTAACTGTCTTTTGTCCTCTATTAAAAAACACAATATGTCGCGGTAGATATTATTTATATAGTCTAATCATAGACGAAATAATTGTAAAGTCTGATTTTATTGCTGCAAGTTATTCAAGGGGGCATTCAAAACATGGACGGATAAAGTGGGTACACCAAATAATGAGAAAACGTGTTTTTGGGACTCGATCGATAGTGCAGAAACGGAAAAAGTTTTCATATAAAAAAGATCCGACTAATAGCAAAAAAGTCCGAAAAGCAATGCACACTGCAGGTTTTGGCACTTGGTAATGCGACGATGGTTGTTTGCTCGCAGATATTTGAAAATTTTCAAATTCATAGGATTCGTACTTCTAAATAACCGCAACAAAATTGGTGTAGATTGGTCAAGTAGTTTTTAAAAATTTCCAATTGTTTATATGAAAACTAATTTATTGAATAATATACAGGGTTAGTACAGAACGCATTTTATAGCAAAATACACTAGTATACTTTGCCGTTATGAATCGCAAACCATTCCGGAAGATAAATGTTACTTTTATGCAAAAAAGGATGGGTTACGCTTTTTCTTCTAAACAAATTCAAACAATTTCGTATTTGTGAGTAATTCGCTACAAAAGATGATAGACACATCCGCTTTGTTTTAAAATGTGTATAGTAACTATGTTCAATTACTCACAAATAAGAAATGTTTCAGTTTACCTTTGTTTTTCGCATATCAGCAAAATAAACACTTGTATTCTGCTCTTTGAACGAACTCTGTATATTGTTCAATAAACTAGTAGTGATGACCGGAAACAGCTGTTTTGGTATAAACAATTAGAGATTCTCAAAAAACTACTTGACCAATATACTCCAATTTTGTTGCTGTTATTTAGAGGTATTAGTCCTAAGGATCTGAAGAATTTCAAGTAGTTATCGTCGCATTGCCAACAAGTGCCGAAACCTGCATTTTGCCTCGTTTTATAGCCATAACATTTTTGCCGTTAGTGTAATACCTAAAAATCGTATATGAACTGTTTTTCGTTCCTTTCGACACTTTCGATTGAATCCCTAAAAACACGTTTTCTCATTCTTCGTTTGTCAAATAAAAAGTTTTCCCACAAAAACTGATGTACCCATTTTATGCGTCAATTTTTTAAATATCCCCTTGAACAACCTGCACCAATAAAACCAATTATTTCGGGGAAATTTGCTAATATGATTAGTCATCATTTTGCAATTGTTAGCAGCATTAGGAACACAACGGTTGAGGAGAAAATTTGGAGCATAAAAATGCTGATTTGAATAAAATAATATTTATCTTTATTCGCTGATCTGTACAATATAATAATCGGTATATTTTCAATCCCATTCCTAATAAAAAAAACACCTGCACGCCTAATACTCATCCCTTTGCTCGGTGGCAGGTTGTTTCCACACCCAATGCAATACCCTGTTTATTCTGAAAAGTACCCACGGCACCAGGCCGACACCGTTCACGACTTTGCTACACATAAACTTTATGTAATCGTACACTGTCCAGGGCGCGTGCCCTTCGTTGATGTACAAAACGTAGATAAAACCGTCCCTACATTCGCCGTGAATCGAATAATAGTATGGTAGGAAATTGTGCAATCGAAAATTCTTCCTTTCGTAGAACCTTATAGCCGCAGCGTTCGTCGTTAGAACGTGCAAAAACACCGCTTTTACTTTCCTCCTTTCCGGGGTAGTTAGATGCTTCAGCAGTGAATCTAACAACAGAGAGGCTATGCCGTTTCTCCTGTATTTTGCCAGCACCCCTAAGGATAGGATGTAAGCTACATCACATTCGTCCAAGGAATTCGCTAGGATCCCCTGATCTTCCTCGTTCAAACTGCCATGTCGTTTGATCTCTGCCACAATCAGCCCGATGATCTCTTGGTTGTAAACGGCGGCCAACGAGAAAAACCTGCTGTTCGCCGACGTTATTTCCTCGTACCAATACAGAGGATATTCGATAGGGAACCAGTCCCTGCATAACGCGCGCACTTCTTCCAAATCACCCGGGCACAAGAACCTCAGCTGGACGTCAGCCAAGGAGCATAACGACACGCGACTTTCGTTCATGTTCGTTCATTATTACTTAAAAACCGCGACGAATTAATTTTGATGTTTTTTTGAATTTGAAAGCTGCCATTGCCGAATCAGATCTATATACACAGGGCGCTATAAGAAGAGTCACAGATACGCGCACCTAACAACTAATCTAGTTACGTAAAACTTGAGGTGGGTCCTTTAACACTGCTTAATCACTTTGAAAAGTCCGTTCAAATTTTTCTGAGAGTATCTCTCCCCAGGGGTTTTAGCCAAATGCTCTTATAAGACAGATGCCCCTAAAAAAAGAACAAGAATGGTTTTAGGTCACTTTGCTTAGCTGGCTGGTAGTTGTGAGCGCGTTTAGATCGATGACCAGGACCCAACTCAATTCTAACATAATTTAACAGGATAGGAAATTTTCAAGACCATGGAAGCAATCCTTAATTTTTGTTACTAGTGATACGGTGACAAATGGATATTCCTAAAATTGAAAAATGTGCAAAACGCGTAACTGTGGATTCCTTTGAAGCAATTTCACAGAACGTATCCATATGCCAACGTATCAGCGGTTAAAATTTTCAAATGAAGTTAAATTGTAATATGTACAAAGTGTGAAGAAGATATAATTTCAAATGTTTTGCAATTTTTGTTTTGTAGCTATAACTTGTTGCTGTACAAATGTCAGAAAGTCTTATATGAGCATTTTCCACAAACTAACAGTATGTTATAATAAAGGGTTGTCCAATAGGGACGCAGGAAAGTAAACGTCAATTTGACATAGACGCCATCTTTGTTTTCTGTCACCGACATGTCATTTTGTTAGTTGAATGTTTACCATTGATCGCTATGGAGTCGTATTCGATTGAAGACCGCATTAAAGTTATTCAAGAGCACTACAAAAATGGTGCAAAAAAAACGTTTCGCGCGCTTCGTGAACATTTCGGTCGAAACAACCGTCGGTCGTCTGGTGCGTAAATTCGAGGCAACAGGTTCTGTGGCAAATCTGCCAGGCTCTGGCCGGCCGAGGAGCGTTCGTACACTGGAAAATATTGCTGTTGTGAAGGAGAGTGCGAGAGACGATCCGAAACAATCAACAACGCGTCGATCCCAAGAATTGGGCATTTCGAGAACCAGTTTGCTCCGCATTCTCCACAAGGATTTGAATGTACACGCCTACAAGATCCAATTGACGCAAGAGCTGCGTCGGGCCGACCATTTTTCGCGCCGAACGTTCTCAGATTGGCTCCTTGAACACCGCCAAATTGATGCCAATTTTTCATCAAAAATCATGTTCAGCGACGAAGCGCATTTCACTGTGAATGGGACGGTAAACAAGCAAAACTGCCGCATCTGGGCGAACGAAAATCCCCGTGAGTATCAAGAGCAGCCGATGCATCCTCAAAAAGTGACTGTGTGGTGTGCATTGTGGTCAAAAGGCATCATCGGACCTTACTTTTTAGAAAATGCGGCCGGGGACGCCGTTACCGTCAATTCTGAGCGATATCACGTGATGATAGAGGACTATTTTTTGCCGCAACTTGAAGGAATGGATATGGACGATGTTTATTTCCAACAAGACGGTGCAACATGCCGCACAACCAACGTCAATATCCATCGATTGCAGTCCTTCTTCGGTGATCGCGTTATTCGCGCCATGGCCACCAAGATCGTGCGATTTGACTCCCTTGGACTTCTTTTTATGGGGATATTTGAAAAGCAAAGTCTACGTCAACAAACCAGCCACCCTCCAAGAACTCAAAAACAACATCATTGCCGAGATAAATGCCATAGAACCGACCATGTTGCAAAATGTCATTGAAAATTTCGACCATCGCGTGGACGTCTGTAAATCCAGTCGTGGTGAACATTTGAGCGATATTATTTTCCATACATAAATGGTATAAATGAACCTTCAAAATAAAGTACCCAACTTGATTTGAATATCAATCTTTCTTGTTTTAGTATGCGTTTACTTTCCTGCGTCCATTTTGGACAACGCCATATAATTTCTTGAGGGAATCCAAATGCCAGGCAGTGTCCTCTTCAAATGATTATAAAAACTATATCACATTTCTTCATGCATTCTCCTCCGAAATTTACCACGCCTTCTTCCACAAAATCGTCGAGAAATAATTTTTTTGAAAATTTGCGGCTCTCTACCGGAATAATCGAAATAATTTCTAGAATATCAGATGAATTCTCCACCGTTTTTTCCAACCTCCAATATCATGCATGACCCATGGCACATTAAAAAAATACATATTTTCACGTCACAGTTTCTATTAATGTACAACTACTGGACATTCTCGACCGAAAAAGAGACTTATCTGACAAGAAGGAAGATCGTTTAAGTAGCAGGGAAATACCAAAAACAAAATACGGAACAACTCTAGGTATGTTTCACTTTTTCTCTGAATGCTGCTGTTGAAAAAATTGATTGCAATGCAACGTAGAAGTGTTCTGTATGTGCAATGGACCTTTCGATGTTAGGCGTAAAATATTAAACATTAAATTGCTCACCTATCGAAAGCATCGCCGTTCTGGAAATTGTCCCTCCTGTTCCTAGTATTGAAGCTGGAGAAATCCCCGCTACGGTTATCCCTATCCCTGCCTCCGCCGTAACCGCTGCGATTTCCCCTACCGCCGCTGCTTCTGGAATCCCTGGAACAATCACAAAACCCAGAACTGACCAAAAAAAATGGGAGTCGCGTAGATTGATTCTATATTTCGTCCGCCTTCGTTCGATGAGTCAAATCGTTTCAAAAGGCAAAATCGAATCATGATTAGGTAAACTCACAGCTTACAACCTAGAATTTTCATCACTTCCAAGCAATGTCTCGAAATAAGCAAGAATGAAACGTTGAAACGTATACCAACGTCGCCTCGAAAATTTTACTGATAAACACAGGATTTGTGACATGACAATTTTTGGATGTATCTTACAGGGTTTGTCCGGAAAGTAATAAGACTCATTTTTTGAATAACTTAATCACAGGTGACGAGTCGTGGATCTTTGAGTATGATCGCGAGACAAAGAGGCAATCTTCCGAGTGGCACACGACGGCGTCTCCTCGCCCAAAAACGGGAAGAATGAGCAAATCCAAAGTGAAAACGATGTTCATTGTCTTTTTTGACATCAACACGTGGAAGTGCTCAGGAGACTCAAACGAACCGCCTTCCTTGTGAACAGCTACCTGACCAAGGCCGGCATCCCAACGCTTCCGCAGCCGCCCTACAGCCCAGATGTGGCCCCGGCGGACTTTTTTTTGTTTCCTCGCCTGAAAAGGCAAGCATTTTGAGACAACAGAGGGGATCCGAGCACTCAGTCCTATTACTTTCCGTACAAACCCTGTATATTAAATCAACAAGATGTCGGAAACAAAAAAAAATCGTCTTCCATCCACCCTGTTTTCACGTGTCGTAACTGAAATTCGAATATATTATATAGAAAATGATTGTACCTGTCCCTGTCGCGATCGTACCTGTCCCTCGAATCGGAACCGCCTCCGCTTCCACCGGTAGAACCACTGCCTCCGCTGCCGCTTCCACCGCCTCCGCCGCTGCTCAACTGCTTGTTGCGCAAATGAGGGGGCACGTAGCGGCCGCTTGAACCGCAGCTCTGCAAGTCCAGACCAGCAAACTGCGCATACAACAAAATATACAGTGCTTTTCTTTAATGTCCCCCTCCCCTTGAATCAATTCAAAAAATTAAAACTTGTGGTAATGAAATTGATGCGTGTATACCGTATTGTAGAGTAAAATTGACAGATGAAAATTTGTAAAAAAAATTACATGAAAACACATCATTTTGAAGCTCCTGACTAGTACTTTATAACCCTAGAATAGTCAATACCTTTACCTACTACAAAATGATGGTACATTTAATAATTACTTGAATAGAAACCCACTAACACGCATATCACTACAAATAATTGTAATTCCCTGCCGAATCCACAGCAACAGGGATAAAAACCTGTTTTGTTATTTTTTGTTGACAGTGACAAGAATATCAGTAGGAAAACAAACATCACTGTACAGTTAAAATATTCTTACATATTTTTAAAATGGTCAATTTTAGTCCATTGGAAGAAAAAATCGAAGCGATTTTTATTTATGGTGCGACGCGTAACTTTCACGAGACCGAAAGGATTTTTGATGATCGTTTCCCGAATCGTCCTATCTGTAGAATACAGGGTTATCCAAATTAAGTGTCCACCATTGGTAACTTTGTTATTAGTAAAAATACAAAGTTGTTTAAATTAGCAAACTAGTAGCATTTTTAACGCTGGTAAAAATGAGAAATAAAAAAAAACAATTGAGAGTCGTTATTTTGATTTTTTTCAGTAAAATAACATTTTTTTAAATGGAAACCCCTGTATATTATATTTTTTTCTGTTAAAGCATCAAATTTTAAACAAAAAAGTTCATAATGACTTTTCCGCTAAAGTCAAAAATAAAGTCAAAATAACGATAAATATTTTTAATTATTTGCAGTATTATAATATTAAGACGGCTATGAAAACAACATGGCGTTCGCGATTTGACAGCATTAAGATAAGCGACAAATTGTTAAACTGGACATACTCGCAACTAGAAGGCTTTGGAAAACAATGATAAAATCAAATAATGTCAAACATTAGTGTAAATACTTGTTTATAAGCTTTATTGTGTCATTAATTTAAAGAAAAATGTTCTCCCATGAAGAAAAGTGTGATATGTTAGAATGCTATTTAGTGTGCAGAAAATACTCCTTGAGAGCAAGAGAATACTACAGTGAATTATATCCCGCTCGCATTCAACCGTATGAACGATATTTTCTGAGACTTTATCGAAAATTTAGGGGCAACGAAAATGTTTTTGCTAAAACAAGGGCAAAAAAAGAATTCATAATAAGCGAGGCCACGGAAATTGCAGTTATTGGATATTTTGAAGCTTATCGTGAGAATTCAATAGCAGATATTCTCAAGGACTCTAATTTCAGTTATGGTACTGTTCAAAGGATTTTAAAAAAATACAAATTTATTCCGTATAAGTACCGACCAGTTCAAACGCTTTTGGCAGGGGATCCAGAGAGAAGACTTGTTTTTTGCCATTGGTATCTTAGCTTCTGTCGCCAAAATGTAAATAACTTTCGTTACCTTTTATGGACAGATGAATCAAATTTTTCAAATTCTGGAATGTTTAATAGAAAAAACCACCATTATTGGTCAAGAGAAAATCTTTTGTTAGTACATCCAAGAGGCCCACAAGTCCGTTTCAGTTTCAACGTTTGGTGCGGTATAATTGGTTCAAAAATTGTTGGCCCATTCTTTTATGAGGGAACCCTAACTGGTGAAAGATATGTGGAATTTATGTCAGAAATTCTGACTAATTTCTTAGACGAATTGGATCTTATAAGTAGACATCATCTGCATTTTCAGCAAGATGGCGTACCTGCCCACAACTCCAGAGGTACTTATCATTTTCTAAGTACTACTTTTAATGATCAGTGGATAGGAACAAATGGCCCAATACAGTGGCCTCCCAGATCACCAAATCTAAACCCACTTGATTACTTCTTGTGGGGTTACTTAAAGAACCAAATTTACAAGCGAAGGTACGATAACCTTGACGCGTTAAAGACTGCAGTTAGGGAAAAGATAATCCAGATAGATGGTAAGACCATACTTAAGACAGTTCGAGCAGTTGAAAAACGTGCCCAAAAATGTATTGAAGAACAAGGTGGTGTTTTCGAGCATCTTCTTTAAAAAAAATTGTTATTGTATTTTGTAAGATTATAAGTTGATGTTGAAAATAAAGTTTGTCGATACAATTTAATTGTTTCAGATTGGAGGCCATAACTTCAACAATTTGTAACCTAGGAGAAAAGTTATTGTAAGCTTTTTTGTTTAAAATTTTGATGCTTTAACAGAAAAAAATATAATATACAGGGGTTTCCATTTAAAAAAATGTTATTTTACTGAAAAATAACGACTCTCAATTGTTTTTTTTTTATTTCTCATTTTTACCAGCGTTAAAAATGCTACTAGTTTGCTAATTCAAACAACTTTGTATTTTCACTAATAACAAAGTTACTAATGGTGGACACTTAATTTGGATAACCCTGTATATTTAAGGGAACTTGTATCTAAATTTACAGATACTGGTTGTGTGAACAACAAAAGCCCCCAGGTCATCCGACCATCCCGGAAGAAAAACAAGTTCAAATAATTGGTGAGATCATTGTAAATCCCCAACAGTCTACTTCCTCCGTCGCGAATGTATGTGAGGTTTGTCCTTCTAGTGTATGGAGACTTTTGAAAAAGAATAAGTATCACCCATACAAAATTCTTCACTTTGGACTTTTCCAAATGTTTTCATTTTTCGACGGATGTTAACAAGGTGCTGTCACTTAGAGCGCGATAACTCCGCGTGAAGTGGTTCGATTGCCATGAAATTTTAACGGGGCCTCAATGAAAGATGTACCTATCCAAGGCTAGTGTATCAGATATATTTCCTGTTTACTTAGCGACAGACCTTGTATATAAAGTTTGTTCACTGTTCCACCTATCAAAATACACTTTGACGCTATTGACTGGAGTGGAATTGACCAAACTTTCTGGTAAACTTGAATATACGATTGGGGAGAAACCACTGCCGCACTATCAAAGACAAACTACTGCTACTAGCCTTTTCAGACTTGACGACATTGAAAGATCATGAATTTAATATTACCATACATTTTTGATATAATGAAATCATGAAACAATATACAATAGCAAACTTGCACTTAATAATAGATGAGTTTCAAGATGCCAGAACGGTAAAATCAATGCATACATCAGTCTAAGGGTTGCCATCCAATCCAAGCCATAGAAATAAAATGCCTAAGTGGATTTAGAGAAACAAGAATGGATCATTTCAGGAATGAGGACACAAAGCAGGAATTAGAGATCGTTCCAGCAACAAAACTTATCAAACAGAATCATCAAATACTTAAAAGAAGGTAGCTATTCAATTGAAATCCCTTTTTTGGCGGAAAAAAAAAATAGTTTCAGTTTGTTAGTTGTACAGAAAGAAACTAACCTGATTATTTGTTTCAAATAAGTAGAGTCTATGGTAGATTGAAAAGTATTTTTTGCCATCACAAATTAAGAATGGAGATAAAACAGATCAATAATTATTACTAATTGATTTTTGTTATGACTTCTCAATATTGTAATAAAACTGTAATTAATAATGAATTATGATATTTAGCATAGCTTTTTATTATTGTAGCAATCAATCTTAAAAATACAAGTTCAGCTTTATATTTATCTCTGGCTATCAAAAATGAGTTAGGCTTTGAAGCGCAAATGTCTGGCCGAATCCAACTTTTATATTTTAGGAAATGGCAACCCTATCCATGTATTGTTATTCAAATAGGTAAATATTTCAACCTCCATAGTCAGAAGTTACATATACTAAGTGACATATAAATCCGAACACACAGTTTAAATGGTTTTATTTTAATAAAAGTTGGTGAATGTATTTATCTTACTGTAAATAACAAGTGAAAAAATTTTCAGCCTCATCAGTCGGACATTCCGGTTTTTATACTGCTTTTTTTTAATTCACTAACGCTCTAAAAATGAATATTTCAGCCGCAGTAAAGAATCAACGTTGGCGGATTTTGGTTCTTGACATCCTTTACGATCGGTTACGATGCCTAGAGTACGGAGACCTGTACGATTTCGTCAACTTAGTGAGTTTGATAGGGGCCGTATAGTGGGACTTCGGGAAGCTGGACTTTCTTTTCGGGCAATTGCAGTTAGAGTGCAAAGAAGTGTAGACACTGTGGTTAGGTGTTGTCAGGCATGGCTTCGAGAAGGCCGTACGCAAAGAGCAAGGGGCACTGGACGCCGCCGTAGAACAACAGACCGTGAAGATCGCCGCCTAAGATTATTGGCCTTAAGGGACCGTTTCTCCAATACCAGGTCCATTGCAAATGAATGGTTTGCAGAACACGGAAGACCTATTGGCATGCGAAGTGTTTACCGACGAATGAGAAATTTTGGCTTGTTTTCATACCGGCCACACTGGGTCCTCCCTTTAACTCGAGAACACCGACGTAATCGCCTTGAGTGGTGCAGACAACGGTCACTCTGGGATCAGGAATGGTACAGTATAGTCTTTAGTGACGAGTCTCGATTTTGTTTAGGCATGCACGATGGTCGTGCCAGGGTTAGAAATCGAGGTGGTGAAAGGAGGAATCCACAGTTTTTTGTTGAAAGACATGTTCATCACACTGTTGGAGTTATGGTTTGGGGTGCTATAGCTTATGGTTTCAGGTCACCTTTAATCTTCATCAGAGGTAACATGAACGCGCAGCGTTATATCCACGAAGTTCTAGAACCCCATCTTTTACCCTATCTTGACACCCTGGCAGATCCAACTTTCCAACAAGATAATGCCCGACCACATGTTGCAAGAGTCACAATAGACTTCTTTCAACATAATGATGTCAAATTGTTACCATGGCCACCAAGATCTCCCGACTTATCCCCAATTGAGCACGTGTGGGATATGATGGGTAGGAGATTGCTCAATTTGCAATGTCCTCCTCAGACTCTAGAAGAACTTCGAGAGGAGTTGGTGGTTGCCTGGAATGAGATACCACAGGAGGACATTGACCACCTGATCAGAAGCATGCCTAGGCGCGTTGGAGAATGCGTAGCACATCAGGGTGCATCCACACATTAAAGCAGTGCAATCATTTTGAAATTTTTATCATTTACTTGTTATGCTTCATAAAGTACTTATGCAAAATTTTATTAAAATAAAACCATTTAAACTGGGTGTTCGGATTTATATGTCACTTAGTATATTTGCTACAATTGCAAACTATCACTATACTTGAATCTATCCCATATTTGCTCAGAACACAAGGTTCTCTTTGCACAACATTTGCACTTAAAAGAAAATAGTACTTGATATATCAAAAAAAGCATGCCAATTAAAGGAATTACTCAATTTCCCTCCAACATTTTCAAACATCAGGACACAACCACTATTTTTTTTTTGTCACTAACTGGTTAATGCATCCACTGTTTAACTTTTTTTAATGCAGGGCGGATACATAATATTTTAAAAACTTATCATATGGCGATTGCACCTGACATTTTTTGAAGTGCCTTTTTTAGGAAGCATCCACCTTTTTTAAACAGATCATTGGAGTACTGTCTGCATCTAAATTTCTGTATTTCGAGTTGCCCCTCCTCAAACCATAGGAGAATACAATCAAAACTGAATAAATCCTACAATTCAACATTCCATTTTTTGACGATTTTTTTAACTAGCAATTGCTTCAATAACAAGATGAAATCACAGAGTGAGATTTTTTTCATACAATTAATTCAACATTTGCTCAACTGCTACTAAATACAATATAGATAATAGTAATGATATTTATTCCAACCATTTTGCACCCAATCGGAGAAACAATATATTCAGGGTAAACAAATATTTATGTCATATAATCAGCTGATTATAAACAAATATTTTCTAATGAAAGCAACAAAACAGAAGTGTAGGGAACAAGTAATTTTATAAAAAAAAACTTGTAAATGCATGTTTACAAATTATTTATGGCTTTACAACACAATACCAGCTGATCATAAACATGCTAAGCAAAAGCAGAACTTCCCAAGTTATACTTGTGAAACATGGATCTACGAAATAACAGAGGTGAAAGACATATTACAATATGGATGCCATTTGCAAGATATGCTGCTAAATGAAGGTCAAATACTTATGATATACATCACTCAGCACAATGCCTGATGAGAAAAAAGTCCATGTTTAGACTAGCAAGAGATAAAATAATAAACTACCCACAACTTATAAACATTAATCATTGAATTAAGCACTTCACTCAATCTGACACGATCAGAATTTTTACTTGACTAATAGCAACTTATTTCATTAACATGAGTACAATTACAGTCAGGTTTTCATATAATTATAACGTTAACTCAGTTAAATAACGTGCATCGCAAAATGAAGTGATACATTCAATAGGACCATTAAAGGAGGTGGAAGTGGATGATTAACAACCTCCTAGTACAATCGAGATCCGTTTTTACCTGCTTAAAGTCCACATTCCAGGCATTTATATAAGCTGGAACCATCAAATTTCGCGAAGCGCGATTTCTAAATTTCTACTCGAAATAAGCGTGAAATTATTTTCGCAAGATTCTCCCACGACTATGTGAGGTGGATTGTTTGGCAAAATGTATAAAAATATCCAAAGTATTCTTTTTTTTTACAAATAGCAATGAGATATTTAAAAATATAGCCTGGCGGGATGGCGATCAATAGCAAGAGACTGAACGACCTCCATTGTCAGTGGCTTCCGGGTCAGCAAAACGTGTTAAAAGATACGCAAAACGTACCGAGATAATCGCTTACCTGCTGCTCTAGACCTGATCCATTTTGGTTGGGTGCATTACTCATATTACTTCAAATCAATTCTTGAGATAGAGGTTTGTTAATATCGAAAATACCAACCAAAATTTAAGAATTAATTCAGAAAAGCCACAAGACGTTCTCTCACTCCTGATTAACGCACAATGCCAAACGTCACTACGTCATTTGACGTCTGACAGACGGCGGTCCTAGAATTTTTTGACAGGATCGGTATCGAATGAGATGGGATAACACGAATACTAGACGCTGAAAGTATTCGTCTTTTGGAGAAATTTGGGAAGCAAAATTTTCGCATATATCTTCGTCCGAAATAATGAGTCAGTCATCGTCGTACAGCGTGAGTTTCGTCGCCACTTCAACATTCATCGGAATAGAGCTGTTCCCTCTTGAAACACCGTCCTTCGTTGGGTTGAATCACTTCGCAGGCGTGGTGAACCGATCAACAGAAGACCAACAGGAGCGCCGCGAACAGTTCGAACTCCTGAAAATGTTGAACGCGTTCGACAGGTCTTTCTAGGCAGTCCGACTCGATCTGCCCGGAAACATGCTGCTGCACTTCGCCTTAGTGATCGTTCGGTAAGGCGAATTTTGCATATGCAGCGAGCATCCATGGACGTTATTCGCCCTCTCTTCCCTGGTCGCCTTATTTCCAGGTTTGGCGATGTTCATTGGCCTCCTCGGTCCCCAGATTTATCCATATGCATTTTTTTCTTATGGAGACACCTTAAGGCTAGAGTATACGCGAACAAGCCCCGAACTCTGGACGAATTGAAGGGCGAAATTCGCGTGGAAGTCGCCCAAGTTGAGAGAGCGATGTTGGAGAGTCTACGATTTCGGCCACCACATGCCTGATGTGACTGTCTCAAATGCTATTTCCTTGTGAACCTGATTCCATCAATGAATTTGTTTTCGAGTGAAAATTAACTATTTCATGATTTTTTAAAACCGTCCATCCTCTCTGCCGCACCCTGTACATATCTCTGCCTAGAACTGTTACACAGATCTCGTATTCAAAAGTTTGCATGCACAGCCTCGATTCACTAAGCTCTGTTAAAATTTTTCGCAACTCGCCATCTCCATCAACTTGCCCATTGGCATAGCCAGATCTTAGTATTCATGAGTTCTGTTTACTCTGTTCTGCACACAATAGTATTCGAAAACTAATTATCCGAGTATCTAATATAGTCAATACCCATCACTAACTTTTCAGAGTTGCCAAGTGAACATGACATATTTAGTCTAGAGATTTTATTTTTAACGTGTTGCCAGCGCTGCAGTACCGTTTAGCTCTTTTGAAGCACTTGTTCTCTGCTATACTGATAAATATTCATAATTTCGCTCTTAGCATGATCAAAGGAAGGCAGCATCATTGACGTCGAGCGCAATTTTGAGAAAATGAACTAAGCACTTCATATTGTTACTGAAAAGTTACCAAAACGTATCTGTTGGCAGCACTGTTTCTAGTTACCTTTTTCGATCTGGCAACATTGCAAACAGCTGTCAACGTGCCGTCGATCTGTCAATGGGGATACCTTTCATTTTTTAGTACTCGTAAGAGGTAGGTTTTTAAATAAAAATCCTTATTTATCTTCATAAATAACATCCATCCGTCTTCATAAGATATTTAAATAAGAAGCGTACATTCCAAATACATCCTGCCAAGTGATATTCATGCTTCACACGAAATATTTTCTGGAAAAATTGATTGTAAACTGTGAGCTTTCTAGGTTAAGTCTAATGCCAGTGTATTTATTTTAGAAAATAATCCAAGATGGGTCGTGTAATTCGAGCCCAGCGTAAAGGTGCTGGGTCTGTGTTCAAGTCCCACACGAAGAAGAGGAAGGGAGCCCCTAAACTCAGATATTTAGATTTCTCAGAACGACATGGTTATATCAAGGGGGTCGTAAAGGAGATCATGCACGATCCAGGTCGCGGTGCCCCCTTGGCCATGGTACACTTTAGGGACCCGTACAAGTTCCAAACTAGGAAAGAATTATTTATTGCCCCTGAAGGAATGTACACGGGGCAGTTCGTGTACTGTGGAAAGAAAGCCAGCCTTCAAATAGGTAAGTTTATTTGTTGTAAACTAAATTCTTTTTATTTGGTATTGAATGGACACTTTACAGCCAGCACTATTGAAATTGCCTGAAGACCATGTTTTACAATTTTTTGTCTTATGAATCACAAATTAAATACTTCTGAACTACAGAAGGAAATTATTTTCTATCCCACTTTGTTAAAGCATCTCTTACATTATTACATACTTTATAAGTGAAATGCTAAATTGCTTAAAACTTGAGGTATGTTAGTTGCTGTTTTAATCATGCTCTCACTATTTTTGAATCACCATACAAGTGAATTAACAAGATTTGAGCTACTGTGAGTTGCTAAGAGAGAGAAAAAGGTCACCATAACAAAACAAAAAAAAAAAAAACAGTATAAAACCATTCAAATATGGTGTAATGTAGCATTCTTTGATCTTATTTGACCCATCTGGCAACCCTGTACGCCACCTGTCACAGCCACCTCAAAATAAAACTCTCGCCTAATTCTTCTTATGTTGATGACTGTGCAGCCTAGTAGACAGTCTTTTTAAATATTTATGATGAATGCTAGTTACCTACCCTGATTGGGAATTGATGAATATCATCTAGAGGCTCTTTCTGATGTTCTACAAGTAACCGAAAAGCCATTATGTTTTGATTTCTAGAATTAACAGCATTATTATTGTTTTCAAGGAAATGTGTTGCCTGTGGGAACCATGCCTGAAGGCACCATTGTATGTAATTTGGAAGAGAAGACTGGAGACCGTGGCCGATTGGCGCGTGCCTCTGGAAACTATGCCACAGTTATCGCTCACAATCATGACACGAAAAAGACCAGGGTCAAGTTGCCTTCTGGTGCCAAGAAGGTCATTCCCTCAAACAACAGGGCAATGGTCGGTAAGTATAAAGCAAATTATTATATATCTTCACTAAACTTGAATGTGTGTTTTGCTGTTCCTCCTTATTTTTTATCAATGGAAATTTTTTTCAGGTATTGTCGCCGGTGGTGGTCGTATCGACAAGCCGATCCTGAAGGCGGGTCGTGCCTACCACAAGTACAAGGTCAAGCGTAACTGCTGGCCTAAGGTGCGTGGTGTGGCGATGAACCCCGTGGAGCATCCTCACGGAGGTGGTAACCATCAACATATCGGTAAGGCGTCCACGGTCAAGAGAGGCACCTCTGCTGGTAGGAAGGTTGGTCTGATCGCTGCCAGGAGGACCGGTAGGATTCGTGGTGGAAAGGTCGACGCTAAGAAGGACGATTAAGCTTATAGGTTATGTCGAGGTGTCAATGTATTTTCGATCGGATGTTGTGTTGTTCTTTGGGAAATATATTGCTATCTGACCAAATGGTGTTTTATTTGATCTGGTGAAGTAAACATATTCGTTGAAGCTTGACTTTAAATATAAAATAATTTTTGAACTTATTCATGAACTGTGGGTCAGATCGTATTGAGTTACTTGAATATCTGAAAGCTGTATATTGTAGATCAAACTTGATGCTATATTACAATCCGCAACAAGCATAGCAGTTCGGTGAAACTGGTTGCATATATTCAGGCGGTATCTCGTCAAAGAAAAAGTTACTGTCAAATTTACGCAAAGGGCGATTTAAATTTTCAATTCACAAGAGGCTGTAACAGACGTCGGGAAGATTTTCCTTTGCTGGCTACACCTATTTAGTACAATCAGCGCCACCTTCAACTAACGAGCCATGAACAGTAAATATGGCAACGCAGCTTTGGGGTCTTCCACAGACAGGTGTTTGCCGGGCTTTTCATTTGTTTATATTCCTAACCTCCGACTTTTTGCCTTTTTGGTGCAATTTTGTTGTAAATCTCTGGGAACAGTGCAATTCATACAAACCAGAGTAATCTACTTAGTTTTGCTCTTCAAACCGTGCAGAAAGTATTTATTTTAGGTAGTATAAAATCGTGCTTTGATGTGTTTAAAATGTGTGTGAATCGGTGCTTGTTGTATAGTGTGTAGATTCGAGTGGGTACATCTTTTCTTTTAATTAATATGCCTAAGCGTTGCTGTGTACCAGGCTGCAAGGTAAACTACGAGGCAGAATTGAGATCGACACCCTACAGGTCAATGTTTCGATTTCCAAAAAATGAGGAGTTGAAAAGTAAGTGGCTAGCTTCAATACCAATAAAGGACTGGTCGCCTTCTAAAGATTCTGTTGTTTGTGATGCACATTTTCAACAAGCAGAAATTGTCCGTACGGAAACTTATGTTCTGTAGGATGGATCACACTGAGTCGTCCAAAACTTTCAGAAGGTGCTGTTCCATCAGTCTTTCCAAATGTGCCATCTTATCTAAATAATCGTCAAGTTTCTAGTAGAACAGATCCTGCCATCAGACAAGATAAGATCCTTCAAAGGCATGAGAATTTGGTTTCAGAATTTCAGGAAAAAGACAAAATTACAGGATTCTCAGATTTATTGGAAAACTATTCTAAAATGATTAAAATCCCTGAACATTGGTTGGTGAAGAAGACTAATGACAAAATTTATTTTTATAAGTTAGAAACAATCAGTGAAATTTTAGTTTTGAATACGCAAATTATAACAGACAGTTCATTAGAAACTAAGGTATTTAATAAAGGGGATCCGCTCTCATGTAATGATTTGAAATGGGTGCTCCCATTTGACTTGAAGCTCTCTAGATGGTCTCAATTAGAAAACTTACTGAGTAGGTATAGTTTTTATTTTGATAATACAGAAACACTAGAAAATATAAATTTAGCCTATAGTCATATTCACAAAGGGATTGAGAATCTGGAACATGCTGTTAGAGTAATAAATCATGTGTCAGTACCTTTCCCTCATTTTAAAAATCTAGAAGTTTTAATTGACCAGCTCAAACAAATTCAAAATATGCTTTCGATTCAATGTTCGACTCGGATCGACCCGTGAAAACGCGCCTTAACAACGGCACACACCAGCTGGACGGCCGGACCCCAAAATGCCATGATGCGGTGTTGCCTTTTTCTCTTCATGGCTCGTTAGTTGAAGGTGGCGCTGGTACAATTAAAAAAAATATATGCAACCAGTTTCACCGAACTGCTATGCTTGTTGCGGATTGTTGATTACATCTGTCAGATTCAACTACTACAGGGGCTTCGTTCGAACAAAGCCGTGTACCGTACATCGAATCGTCATGAGCATGCGCAGTACGTTTTAAGTGACAAACTTACTGCGCACGCTCATGACGGTACACGGCTTTGTTGGAACGAAGCCAGTATTTCACAAACATAAAACATTTTGTACCCAAATTTATAAATTATAATCACGTATTGCTCTTTTTTTCTGCGAAATGATAAATTCAGAATATTACAGGGCTTTGCACTTATGAAATGCAAGGAAATAAAAAACACTGAGGCTGACCCTGGAATTCTGAAATTTTCAGTTACATACTGCTGAAAATACGCTATTCAAATATACTAAGTGACATATAAATCCGAACACCCAGTTTAAATGGTTTTATTTTAATAAAAGTTGGTGAATGTATTTATCTTACTGTAAATAACGAGTGAACAAATTTTCAGCCTTATCAGTTGGACATTCCGGTTTTTATACTGCTTTTTTTAATTCACTAACGCTCTAAAAATGAAAATTTCAGCCGCAGTAAAGAATCAACGTTGGCGGATTTTGGTTCTTGACATCCTTTACGATCGGTTACGATGCCTGTACGATTTCGTCAACTTAGTGAGTTTGATAGGGGCCGTATAGTGGGACTTCGGGAAGCTGGACTTTCTTTTCGGGCAATTGCAGTTAGAGTGCAAAGAAGTGTAGACACTGTGGTTAGGTGTTGTCAGGCATGGCTTCGAGAAGGCCGTACGCAAATAGCAAGGGGCACTGGACGCCGCCGTAGAACAACAGACCGTGAAGATCGCCGCCTAAGATTATTGGCCTTAAGGGACCGTTTCTCCACTACCAGGTCCATTGCAAATGAATGGTTTGCAGAACACGGAAGACCTATTGGCATGCGAAGTGTTTACCGACGAATGAGAAGTTTTGGCTTGTTTTCATACCGGCCACACTGGGTCCTCCCTTTAACTCGAGAACACCGACGTAATCGCCTTGAGTGGTGCAGACAACGGTCACTCTGGGATCAGGAATGGAACAGTATTGTCTTTAGTGACGAGTCTCGATTTTGTTTAGGCATGCACGATGGTCGTGCCAGGGTTAGAAGGCGACGTGGTGAAAGGAGGAATCCACATTTTTTTGTTGAAAGACATGTTCATCACACTGTTGGAGTTATGGTTTGGGGTGCTATAGCTTATGGTTCCAGGTCACCTTTAATCTTCATCAGAGGTTACATGAACGCGCAGCGTTATATCTACGAAGTTCTAGAACCCTATCTTGACACCCTGGCAGATCCAACTTTCCAACAAGATAATGCCCGACCACATGTTGCAAGAGTCACAATAGACTTCTTTCAACATAATAATGTCACATTGTTACCATGGCCACCAAGATCTCCCGACTTATCCCCAATTGAGCACGTGTGGGATATGATGGGTAGGAGATTGCTCAATTTGCAACGTCCTCCTCAGACTCTAGAAGCACTTCGAGAGGAGTTGGTGGTTGCCTGGAATGAGATACCACAGGAGGGCATTGACCACCTGATCAGAAGCATGCCTAGGCGTGTTGGAGAATGCGTAGCACATCAGGGTGCATCCACACATTATTAAAGTTCAAAGGGCTTTAAAGCAGTGCAATCATTTTGAAATTTTTATCATTTACTTATTATGCTTCATTAAGTACTTATACAAAATTTTATTAAAATAAAACCATTTAAATTGGGTGTTCGGATTTATATGTCACTTAGTATATGAATCCAACGGATTTGAAGAAGCAATTGCGTGAAATTATCGTCGCATTACCAACAAGAGACAAAGCCTGCCTTTTACCTTGTTTTCCATAACATTTTTGTCAAACAAAAAGTTTTCCCACAAAAATTGGTGTCCCCATTTTACGCGTTCAAACCAGACTTTACAATTATTTCGGGGAAATTTGCTAATACGATTAGGCTAACAATGTTTTTTATCGAGAGAAATAAGAAGGGAGACGACTTTGGGCAGCGCCGTGTGAAAGAGGAATTAAATGAAACTCGGCGTTTGTTTCGTGTTTTTATTATAATCACCTACACTCTTAAAAGGATTAATGTCATTTGATGATTTTTGAATTATAAAAATGAAAACTATTGCTAGATAGTTAAGGACCAATCATACCAGCCGACCTATCTATACAACCACGGTTCCTCCAATTTTACAGTATATTCAGCTAAAATGTGAGGCCCCAGTATGTTTGGCGCTTAAAAATAAACAACATACGACATTTCTTCACATATATTTACTAATAAAAGCCGATGATTAAAACTATATAAAAATGACATTAGACCTCACAATCTTTATATTTAGAAAAATTAAAATCGGATGAGTTCTCTACATCATATTACATTCTGATAACGGATATACACAACAAATTTCTCTCAAGGTCAAATAAAAAACTCATCCTCATCCAGGCGCTCTTATAAAATACCTCACTCAATGTAAACAATACATTTCAAATGGACATAGTATTTATAAGTATGTCGTATGCAAACCGCTTAGACCAAAACCACAAACGCATCTTGTATTTACGTCAAAATTAATTCGACAATGTTTGTGATCATTAAAATGATGTAGAATCTCTAGGAGATTTTTACACACAATGCAAGTTTAAGAATCATTTGCTTTGCAATGTAAGTTCTTCTATCCGCTGATTTGACAAAACGTTTGTAGTTTAAACCCAAAAAATTTGCATCGCATTTTTTTAATCTTGTCTATACAAAATTGATCCTATGACGGAGATTTATCTCCAGACAACTCGAGCATATCACCCGTATCTCAAATTACAAAACATTGAAGAGTTCATGCGGATCGATTTTCCAAAAATACGTCAAAATTTGAATCGGGCGGTTTGTAAATCATATGCGATGTATCATCATTTTAATAGACGGGGATATTTTAGAGGCTGTTTCCTTGATAAAAAAATATGGAAAGAAGTTTTTATGAACGTGGGTCCGGAAATGCAGAGTTTTCAAGATAGAGGGTGATAAATTTAAAAAAAATTATAAAATTACGTAAATATTTTTTTTCTAGAAGAATTGACGCGCAAATGTCAAACGTTTTTATTGTGCAAAAATTAATAAACCTATTATGTCCAGTGACATGAAATAAAAAAAAAACTGCATATTTTGGAAATAAAATCGAAATTGCCGATTTGCCTTTTCCTATGGTGAATTTTGAATGATATTAGAGAAGACATCAATGCTCAAATAAATACAGGACATCTGACCATCTAAGACACATGATACTTTTCTTCGATAGGATGACAAGTTACATAAAGTTTACGAGTCCACTGTCTGGTCAATTCAAAAAACATAATATATTTAAACTTCTGTTTATTGTAAAGTCTTTGAAAGCTAGCAGAATTTTTATTTTTCCGAAAAGTAGGACCTTGTTTCTGAAAAAAAAGATAAGACAGAACAATTCGTAAAATTTATACCTGAATGCCAAGGCCATATATTGTGTATTTCATTGTTTTGACAATAATTCAACGATTAATTTATTTATTTTTAATATATTTTCAAGTGGGAGAGACACCATTCCAAAGCCAAACACTTCCGTACTACTCAAAAAAAAATATCAAAATAAATATCATCTGATATCTCGCCATCACGTTATACAGGGTGTTCGAAAAATAGTCTGAGATATTTTAGAGGGTGTTTCCTTGATAAAAAATATGAAAAAAGTTCCTATAAACATAAAATTACGTAACGCAAATGTCAAACGATTTTTTGTGCAAAAATTAATAAACCAATTTTGTCCAGTCACATGATATAAAAGGTTTTTTTTTCGGAAACGATGTGAGACACGAAAAAATACAAGAGGCAATGAAGATGTATTTTTAGATGATTAAACAACAAATATTAAAGATAATGGCGTACATTTTTTTGCCGATAATATTCGCTAGTGCGCCCCCCGGCACGCCACTGTACCTGATAATTTTAATCTATCTAGAGCTAAATTAGCTTCTCAATACAAGAAATAATATCGCAAAATTTCAACAAAATCGA